GAAGAGGTACGTGGATGACACTTTTGTCATCTGGCCACATGGCCGGCCTGCTCTAGACCAATTCTTCGACCACATCAATTCCATACACCCAGCCATCAGATTTACCATGGAAGTCGAAATAGATGGCAAGATACCTTTTTTGGATGTCCTAATTAAAAAGAGACCTGATGGTTCAATGAGCCACTCTGTCTACAGGAAAGCTACCCATACGGATGCTTATCTGAAACCGGATTCCCACCACCATCCATCACAGAAGAATTCTCTCATCAAGACTCTGTATCATAGAGCCCAATGCATATCCGACCAGGAACACATAAGCAGTGAACTCAAGCACGTACACCAAGCTCTTAGGGCTAATGGTTACTCCGACTATACAATCCGCAAAGCTATCACTCAAACCATGAAGAAGAACCCTCTTGAGGAGCCTTTCAAAACCATCACTTTACCCTACATTGCTGGGATCACAAAAAAGATCTCCAAAATCTTGAATAAACACAAGATCCAGGTCCGTTTCAACACATTACATAAAATCCGTGATCTGGTTCCGTCTGTAAAAGATGTGATTCCGGACATACAATACCCTGGTGTCTACAAACTAAGTTGCCTCTGTGGTAGTAGTTACATTGGAGAAACCAAACGCCATATCTCGGACCGCATTCGTGAACATAAAGCAGACCTTAAACACGGTAGGACCAACACCTCGGCCGTAGCAGATCATTGTTCTAATTCAGTAGGCTCACATGCCATTGACTTTTCCAAGACGGAGGTTCTTTGTAAGCCATCTGGCTTCCATGAGAGATTCGTTCATGAGGCTATCCACATATACAAACACAGAGACAATTTCAACCGAGAAGATGGATTCTATCTTAGCAATCATTGGAAAGATTTGATAAATCATTTCAGTTCTTGATTGATTGTTCACGCTTACAGTGGCTTTCAGACAGCATACATAAAAACAAATTTCGTCTCCCCCCTCCTCTTTTCAAAAATAGATGGACTAGTCCTGGCAAACAGCCAATCGTTGCGCGTGACGCAAACGTTATTTTTATATATATATATAAATAAATATGCCGTTTTCAAAATAAATTTATGCAAACCGACACACCTGATGATGACCGTTTGAGTTATGGTCGAAACGTCGTGAGAATTTGTTATTGTTTTATATATATTTTGTTATTTTGTTGTTTCTCTTCAACGTGACTTTACCGAAAAAACTAAGAATATGAGTCCATCTATGTTCGGAAAACAGGAGGGGGGAGACGAAAAATAATGGATGCGGTCTGAAAGCCACCTTAAGCGTGATCAATCAATTAAGACCCGAAATGGTTGATCAAATCCTTCCAATGATTGCTAAGCCAGAATCCATCTTCTCGGTTGAAATTGTCTCTGTGTTTGTATATGTGGATAGCCTCATGAACGAATCTCTCATGGTAGCCAGATGGCTTGCAAAGAACCTCTGTACTCTAATTGCTAGCCATGATCGGGAAACAAACTCACACTGTCGTGTTCACAGAGCAATGAGCTAACCACTGCTCCTCCGCTCCGACAGAACAGAAACGACGTGAGCTAGGTTCAAACAACAAAAGTGGATTCTTAAACGAAATTGTGACCCTGAATGGTGACCGGTTCATCAGATCGTATTTTATTTCAAACGTGTTGTGCACGCCTGCTGTAAAGACTGCCACAAAATAAATGAACGATCACAATAAAGTTACCTTTTCGGGTGGAAGTGAATGAATTTAAGAATTTTTACTTGGGCCATTTGAGAAAGGAATCCATGCACCTCTTCTGGCGTTGGGTTTACCGTGTCGTTATTGGAGCCTTCTAAGGAGCAACGCAGCTTTCAGGCTGAGCAGCAGGCGTCTCAAATCCACGGGGGTCAAACTCGTCATGAAGGCAGCCAGGCAGGCCATTTAATTAAACAATCACTCGATCAGCCCCTGTGCCAGTGGATGGGGCAATTCCTCCATTCAGTAGCAGATGTGATCCTATTTTGTTTTCATTCGTACACGAATTAAACAATGATCACGCCTCCACAGCGCTGTTCACGCTCTGCTCACGGGCGCTGCAATCCGGAGGTCGCCGGTTCGTGATTTGTTCTCCTGGCGCCGCGGCGCGTTTCTGGGACCCCCTCCCTCTGTCCCCTACCGCGCCGCCGCTGTCCACCCAGCGGTGTGAATGGGTTCACCACCGTCACTCCTTTGGTGGGATGCGTGCGGTGGGGTAAAGTGTCAGTTACCTCCACCATTTCACAGACGAACGTATATATGCATGTTGAACTTTTTTCGCACCGTACATAGCCAACCGGGTTATTCGGAGGTGTGGGGGAAGGACAACAAACTAAACACAAAAAGCAGTTTAAACAAAAATTAGTTTTCAATATAGATTTAAAAGTGCATAGCTCCAGTGGTTTCCTAATATCGGAAGGAAGAGCGTTACAGACAGACGTCTGGCAAGCGTGGAAGAGGAGGCCAAATACTCTTCGGAATGGCTCCCTCGAGCACCGGTGGAGGTCTCTTCCGCAAGCAGTGCCATAAGTGAGCAGTTGCAATGCTGCGCCTTCGCCTGACCGTTTAGCGCAGCTCCAGTAATGCTCTAGGGAAAGGAAAGGTTAGCAATCCCTTATTTATTTTTCGACAATGTAAACATTTTTTTAATTATTTGAATGAAATTAATTTGCGAATTAAACATTTACCGGAAATAGCTGAGGAGGGAGGATATGCAATTTTATTTAAAATAACTTGTAAATTATGAATATCATTCATTCATTATGCACCACCCAGGGGTACTTTATTTATTTATCATCTGTCAAAGAAAGGCTATGTTGGTATTGAGGATAACTCGGTTCACAGTCCTTTATTTAGCTGAGGCAAAGTCCATTATCTCCTTCTGCGGGAGACTGGAGTAAACTGGATTAACTCGGGAACAGGTAGTTTTCTCAGTAAATTATCTGTAAGTAATCTAATCTTGGGGATTTATTCAAACATCTGGCCAGCTGTGATGTGGTTAAAGCTCTCTTTGTACAATTATAAGGTTGTGAACTGGCATCGCGGTCCAAATACAAAATATTAGTAGCAACATCGCCCCCTGCTAACGGGACTGTGTCCCTCTGTGACACACGGCGCCTGTGTGATGGTACTGTAAGAAAGAGGCAAATACCAAATACACCACCACTCCATGTCAATCGCATCACAAATGAGCGCCACGCATGGCTCAATTGAACCTGGAGACGTGATTGTAAGACAATGTGGTTCTACGCAGTGGCTCACTCCCGCACAGCAACCAGCCAGTGGGTCTCTAATATCCAATAGAGCACAAACAACAGCACTTGCTAATAACACTCCCATGGAAATTACCGGGAGACTGTGGGACTTGAACTGTGAGCCTAATGGCTCGTTAACGAACACGCCAACGAGTTGAGCCATCTCTCCTTGCTCAGCGACTAAATGCCACCGCTGAATGGAGTCGCCCGATGCCGATGTGTGAATAGGGTAGTGCTGTTTGCGAGCGATGCAAGAGGTGTGGAGATGAATGGGGATGAATGTTGAATGACACATTTAGTGTGTGCACACAAACTTGTTCTGTGCATGGATACGAGAGTAAATGATGCCGTTGAATACGAATGTGAATTGTATGCCCAGTAAAATCACGGGAATGCATGACATTGAATGTTCTTGGGTGAGTGATTGTAAGTGTATGACGTAGTGAGAGTGCACGTGTAAATGATTGCTCACGCGAAATAGATTTCTCTAAGACGATGGTACTTTGCAAGCCTACTGGCTATCAACAAAGATTCGTTCATGAAGCCATCCATATATACAAACACAGACACAATTTCAACCGAGAGGATGGTTATAAACTGAGGAATCATTGGAAAGATGTCATCAACCACTTTGGGTCATGACTTGATTTGTGTTTTCTTGTCAACCTCCACCGTCAGCAGTGTGGGTGCAATGCCCCCTATCTCTACCCCCTCTCTCTCCCCCTATCTCTAACCCCTCTCTCTCCCCCTATCTATACCCCCTCTCTCCCCCCCTATCTCTACCCCCTCTCTCGCCCCCTATCTCTACCCCCTCCCCCCTTGTCTTCTCCTACATTAACATCAGCTGCCCGCCCATGCTTCTGACACACTTGGACTACGCCCATCTCTGAACCTTTATAAACAGTTTGCCTTTGGCGGCGAACCCCTCCCCTTTTCCTGATGACGACCGCTTGTGTTGCGATCGAAACGTCGTGGGTTTTTTGTTTGTATTTTCTATCTACGTGACTTTACCGAAATAACCAAAGAATCTCATCAAGTTTAAAGATGAGTAATTTTCATGAGTGACCCGGGAATTTCCTCTTTCAGTAGAGAGTGATGCTTGCTGAGTACAGTCCCAATTGATTCATTTGCGGGTATTGTAGTTTTCAAATTTCACAAATGTAACCTTGACGCTGGCACACAAACGGCCTACTCAGGGATCTCTAAGATCCGCTGTGAAGCAGGCAGCGCGTAGTGTTGTGGTCATAATTATCGTCGTCACCCGTGATCATTCCACTGCTGGGTGAATGGTTTCCCAAAAATCCATTTCCATCAACCAAAGTCCCGCTATGTGACAATCCCGTCAGGATGTACACACACATACACCACCCTGATTCCACCACTCCATCTCCACGGTGGACGTGCTGTCGTGCACATTCTCTCCTTTGGTGGCCGCTCTGTCAGCCTCCGGACTTCATCGTCCCCTTCAGCATCGAATCCGGACCAAGCCTGCTTGCTTTTTGTCACAGCCCTGCAATTGCTCACTCATGATATTAGGCCCACTCTTCAACGCTTGCAAGCCATCTTCGATTTCAGCAATTGATCTCTATAATTTAAAACAAACGTCTTGTACATGTTACAGGCGATGAGCATTCTTGCACATTTTATGTACAGCCCCGAGCACTAGACCTGTTGATGTGCTGCGCGCCACACCGAGGACGGTCGATCGGCTGACCGGTTTATCGTGCAAACGTCACAGAATGGGAACGTGGAGCCGCCCTCGACGAAAGCGGAGCTGCCTCGTGAGGAGGCGGAGGAGAAGATCTCCTCGTTCAACCACGCTGCACCCCGCAGCGCGCACATGACGCTGGTGAGACGCTCCGTGAGCCACCGACCCGCGCATGCACACGTGTCGCGTCCGTGTATACAACGACAACAACAACAGTCTCATTCGTTCACAATGTACGTATGTTGAACTTCATTTGTGCAGTACGTGGCCAACCGTGTCGCAATAGTGACAGCGGTAAGGAGTCGTGCGTTCTTGATAGAGCCACCCTCTTGACCTCAACAAGCACACCGACCTTCACCGCAAGGCGTCTTTGGGCAGAGGCAAACCCCCACTCGGAGTGGCAGCCACCCGCGTGGGTTCGCCAGGCTAATGCCAGAGCGCGGCGGCGACCCTGGTGGCGCCCCACCGCGGCTCCACTCACCTGCTGCGTGTCCTTGCTCCCTTTGTTCCGGACGGCCGCATCCCCTCCAGCAACCGGACGGCAGCTTCACGGGATTCATCGAGGTGCAGCTCAAGTTCCGCAGCGTCGACGGCTCCGAGAGGGAAGCTGGAGCTGGCCGGGAGAGCGGCGGTGATGGCGGCGGCGGCGCTACCGGTGCTGCCCGCAAGCTCAAGAGGCGCTCGGCACGTAGCGGAGAGAGCACTAAGCAGGTACGGCGCTGGCGACCACAAAGGTTGAATGAGAATAGGGTGGCAAGCGACAAGGCCACGGTCGGTGACAGAGGGGAGTGGTAAACTGGCACTGGCCTATTGAACCCCAGTCTACCATAGCCCTGACAGCCAGTCTGACCGCTTTCGATTACCATGGTAGCCAATCAGGACCTAGCACGAAACTTAACCCCTGACCCTATCCCAGCACCGAACCTAACCTCGCTTTTCTCCTCCTGTGGCTGACCGACTCTCCTCTCCGTTTCTCTTCTTCTGTCGCGTGCGATGGAAGTGGCGATACGTTCAGGAAACTAAATGCCAATGTCGAGGTCTGCCGGTGATGACGAGAGGAGAGAGTTTGTGTCGCGCAGATTCTCTCTGTGCTTGAAGTGTCTTCGTATACCCCATCTCTATTTGTTAATTAACTCTGCGCGCTCCCCTCCCCGCGGCGCTGCCGGCATATCCCAGGTTCACTTGAGCAGCCGGACGAGCGCCCTGGAGGTGTCCGAGGCCCTGGTCGCTCGCTTCCGCAGCGGCAACTCCCTGCAGCCACGCTTTGCCCTCTTCAAGTGCACACAGCGCGACGGACAGGGTGAGCTCCGCTTAGCCCGACGCGTCCTCGTCGCTTGCGATCTTCGCTCCCTGCAGGGACGCTTCGGCAGTTTCCCGTGGTTCTTTGCCGGAGGGTCCCCCCATCGCCGTGTTCGGCCAAATCGTTGAGAACCCCGATGGAGGCGATTCCCCCGCTCAGGCGAGCGAAGGCACGGCGGCCGACTCCCTCGGGGCCTGCGCGTCTTTGTCGGAGAATTTAGGCCAGGGGTGGAAATTCCACATTCCCGTGAAGTGGCCCAGTATTCATAGCAAAGCCACTGTTGTCTTTGAACAAAGTTGTACTAATTTTATTGAACGATGATGGATGAGAGGCCGAGTGAACTTCCCAGCTGGTTGTGGTGCCACCTGACCAGCTATGCACAGGTGCAGGGCGTGTAGCGATGTGTTGACGCATCAAGTGATATTGATTCCTAAGCTCGCGATACGCGCAGGGAACCATCTAAATTTCCGCAATGCATTGCATTGCCAGGACGATGAAACGGTACGCCCCCTGACTAAGCTCCATCTGTCCTGTCTGTACGGGATAGAGCATTGCCACCTCACACGCGTAGGTATTCTCCAACTGCTCCGATTTACTCCCACATATATAAACGCTCATAATTAATTGGCTGAAAACATCTTTATAACATATGCACCTCCGTGCGTTGCAGATTACGCAGCGCTGTCAGATGCATTTGCGTGAATGGCGGTACTCTATACGAATTTTTACCGTACATTGCTTTTTGCGTAAGGTTGAAGCAGCCTCAACTGAGTAGTATCTGGTGTGGTGTGTAAACATCGCCACTTGGCAGACAAAGGCAGTCAGCTTTGTGTGGTGCTGCCCACATCACCCAGCTCTTTTCCAATTCCGGCCTTAATAGGTGCTCCTTAACAGCACTTTCCCCCGTGGTCTCCGAGGCTAATGGGGGATCTGTGTAAGTAAACTCCGCGTGTGTACAGCCCGAAATCCCTTGACACAAACAAACCCCTTTATGGCCACGTGGCTTCACACTGCACACAGGTCTCTTAAACCATCTCTCGACACACACGGTGTTGTTTTAGGGCATGTTAAGCACATTCCCCGTCGTTTAAGGCTTCGGAGTTTAAATCACGCAAAAGAGAAAAACGGTGGATTGGAAAAAATTATTCCAAAGTATCGAGAGGCTGTGGATGTGAGCGTGCGAGTGAGCGTGTGCCCTTGTCACGTGACGATGGCTGCTGCTGCTGTTGCTGTACAATGGCAGAGGCGTCGTGCCGACTCCACCACAGTTCGGTGGTAGCCTTTGCAGCCCCGGCGCTTTGTGTAGATGATAATTGCGGAGTTAAGTGCAATGTAAAATTGAGTTCAAATCGTTTTGTGCAAATGCAGCTTGATGCATGTATTTAATAATTATTGAGTGGTATTATTCCTGAGGTTGTGTAAAAAATGATTTAAGTTTTAATCAGTCTGCATACCTGATGACTTCAGTCTTTCACAACCCCCAGTCTTTTCCACGCTGCGCATATGGCAAGAGCATCTGGAATTCCGAGCGCATACTTTCCAGAATTTCCTTGACTCTCCGATTAAACGCTCTGCATCACACCACCTTGACTTAACGAATCGTAACTAATTACATGAGCCGTCCGTAATGCCAGAGCATGTGTGGACACATAAGCCCACGTGTGCACACGCACTCACGCACGCACACAGTGCTTCCAATCTCATCAATTGTCAGGCAAGGGCTGTTTGCGAGCAGCTATGAAGGGCAGTACAGGTGGTGTTCAGTGCAATTTATGCCCAGCTGCTTTTATCTTCCCACTGCTGATGTTGACACTGATTAATTATCTTAGTTTTTACGGAAGGGGAAGAGTGCTGACCGAATTTGAGAGACTGGTCACTGCCGTTCCCTGATGTGCGCACATTTTTTTCCGACGCGATATTCTCCTTGAGATCAAGAAGTCATCAGGGCCAGTGCCACCGATGCTGCCACACATTGCCGTCACTTCTTGCCTATTTCCAGATCCTAGTACTGTCGCACAGTTCATATTTGACCTCCGAGGTCTGCTCAATAAAATTCAACCGTCTGGCTCGAGGTCTTCCCCTGGGTCTCCCTCGCTGGGTGCCCTGTCCGCCGTCTCGGTGCCCCCCACCGCCACCCTGCACACGTGCCCCACACAAAATACTTTCAGTGTTACTCATTTATCAACCATGGATGGATGATGGGATTTTGGTAATTTTATACTGAGTAATTTTATAAACTGCTGCAGGAAACCTTCTTGCTGTACTGCCACCTCAGCCCAAAAGGTTCCAGGTCTCAAGCACAACATGATATCTGCATGATCCACCAACCCTTCAATAAGTACTGCATTACAGACGTGTCATGCCTTACACGTGTTTATTGTGTCAGAGTCACTTGGGATTAAATGGCATCTTATTTAATGATAATTGACAATTTTAGGATAGAACATTTTTCTAAAAAGCTCAACAACACCGGTGACCTAATTTAAGTTTGATCAAATATGTGCCGAATGTGAAACTCCGTACAATTTTCGTAGTTTTCCATTTGGCTCATGACCTCCGGGGGCCATTGCTACAAATCAAGGTTAAACAGCGGAATTCCACGCAGGAAGTTGGAGGCTTTTGTTGAAAATACCTTCACCAAAACGGGTCATTCAAGAGGCTTAGCCCAGAAAAGAGTCAAAAGTGTAATTGAAAGGTTCTCTTGGCTCAAATGTCACAGTGGTCAAGAGTCGGTGGTGTTTATCTGTAGGACGACCGATGTTGACTGTCCACAAAGTGGTACTTGTTTTACAAACGATAGAGGGATGATGGGCTCATTTTGTCCCCGACTGCATTTGAACGTTTCACCTTCCAAATGTGAGCCATGTGCTCTACCTGCAATGCCACCTGAACCAGATGAATAATGAACACTGTTGGTGCGTCTTTCATTGTGAGTATCATCTCCTGCTTTAAGGTTGTGCTCATTTTGACAGTGGTGGAAAATAATTCTCAGATTTTCAAGTCCACGTTTCAGGCACTGTCAACAGACCCCTTAAAATATCAGATGCACCTAAGCTGCGTTACCCACACAGCTGCAATCAGACACGCGGACAATGTCGAACGGCGCTTATCCGGCACCCTCGTTTGCCTTTGGGACTTAGGGCTGCCGCAGATTTCTAAGCACGCTCCTTATTCCCAAAGCTGCCTGATTGGCTGCCTGTCTGGCCAGCTGGTGAGGGTTACCACCTCTGCGGTACCAAAAAAATGTACACGTGTCATGAGAATGAGAATATGTTACGGTACAGAAGGGTACATTACTGCGAATAATCGCGTTGTCCAGAGTGGCGTAATATCATTGTTGTTATTATGCATCTGACAACAACCGGGACTTTCACTTCCCCCGGGAAAACTTAAATATTTCTTAGGGCAGCAACTACCCCAAAACTATTGGCGTCCTGGAAAATCCAGGACAGGTGGGAACCCCCCAGCCGGCCAGCTGGCGGTGCCGGCTGGCTGGGACAGCACGTTGCCTATTTAAGGAAGGCGGCTGGGAGCGGGGAAGGAGCGAGGGCTGGGTACGCCGCCGCTGCATGCAGACGCCAGCCATTCCTGAGCGCCGGCCAGGAGACACGGAGGTGGAGCCCGGCTCAAGTGGCTTCGTTCCGCTGCGATTGCACAGGGATAGCCCGTTCGACGAGCGGCGTAGATGTAATGCAATCACGATGTCTTGGTAACCTCCGGCCAAAAAGGTGAAGTACAGGAAGTCAGAGTGTGTGGTGCACATTCCACGTGCGTCACTCCGACTTCCTGGTGGCTTACCTGAAGATGCTTGACGCAGTTCCAAGCAGACCGTCATATCTAACTTGTCGGTGAGCTGAAATGACGCTTGACACGTTGAACACTTGTACACGTGGACATTTCATTTGCGTGGTGGCTATATTGGGTGGTGGAGGGTTTCACGGCATAAATTTAGCCAGATCATTACCTCACCTTCCCCAAAAATGAATTATGAATCATGATATCGGCTGTGATAGCCTATCACGTTAAATAAACAACTTCCTTGCCATCTGAACCTGACCTGTTCCATTGAGCGCATTAAACTGTGACGCAGTCCCTTTGGCTTCACATCCCGCACGGCTACATTTGCACGCTCGGAAGAACAACAGGAGCGTGGTGGCGGTGCCGCTACGCCTCACGGTGCGTCTGCTCTGTGTCTGGCAGGCTGCCATCGCAAGCTGGGCGACGCGGAGCGGCCGCTGCTGGTGAGGCTGCTCGCCGGGCCCGACCCCAACGCGCTCAGCTTCCTCCTGCAGGAGAACGAGACCAGAGAAGTTATCGTGAGTGGGAGAGACTATCCGATCTTTGTTCACCTCGGTTAACAATCACAAAAGCAATACAAATACAATCAGGTGCAGCAGTTAAGCAAATAGCATCGGAACCAACACAAAAACTGCGTCACTCGACAAATCAAAAATGATGTACGAACACAAATCGAAGTTAAATGTTTAATTTCTGTGACTGTGCTTGCATGCCTCTGTGGGGTTGTGCACGTGTGATGGTGTAGGCCTCCCCTAGCCCTAGGTAGACTCAGCCTCAAATTAGTACCTGTTGTAGTGTGTAACATTACTAGGGAGACAAAGGTGGCCGGGCGTGGTGTTGGCCACCCATCCCCTCGTGCTGATCTGCTCTTCATAGGAGCTCGCTAACAGCACTTGCCCCAACAATATGTTAAGGCTACACGGGGAATCTTTGTCTTTTGGTTGTGTGCCTATGACAACATCACACGGAATGTGTCCCATCTCGTCCCATCTCGTCTCGGAAACTAAGCAGGAATTGAGTGAGCCTGGACAGTGCCCAGGTGGCCGACGGGCATGCACAGACAGGGAGTTGCCATTGGCTGCGAGGGGCTACATGGTGGAATGTACAGAAAAATCCATTGCTGTACTGTACTGCTTCCATCTCTGTGCTTCCCACAAGCACCAACCCACACACATGCAGATGTGCACACGTGAACGCTCTTATGGCTCGTGTGCGCACGCGCATAATCGCGTGCCCGTGAATACAGTAGCACGCAGAACTCTTTGCATCCGCGTGTGCAGTGGGAAGCGTTCTCCATCCCGGAGCTCAAGAACTTCCTGAGGATCCTGGAGCGCGAGGAGCGGGAGCACGTGCGGCGGGTGGAGGAGAAGTTCTCGCGCTACCGCGGCCTCCTGCGGGACGCGATGGCGGGCGGCGGCGCTCCGTCGCACGCCTGAGCGGCCGGCCGCCACCTCCCGCACGCGCCGTGGGATTGGACCGACTCGGCGGCCGATTTGACGAACGCGGCCTCAAGAGGCGGCGTCGATGGACAGGAGATGAGGAGGCCGTCCCTGTGGCGAGGGTCGGCCTTCCTTTCGAGCCATAGTGGCCCGCGAGGCCCACCGCCCGTGAGCGGCCGCATGGTCTCTGTGGCCTGCACCGACTTCCATGGGTTGGGGCTGTGACGTCATGATGAGCAAATGCGTAAAATGACATAATCACAATCACCAAAAAAAAGACGTTTTTATTTATGCGGAACGAATACAGGTAATGTTACTTCCACAGGTTCACTTGCTTTTTGTTAAGGAGTAAAAATTATTGGAAGGCTTTAATTAAATTAATTATTTGTGTTATTATAATTTTGGATTGTTTGCTTTTGGTACATTTTTTTGTGTCGACTCCAAATAATGATGACTTTTTTGGAAATGAAGGTAGCTGCTTGTTTGTTGGTGTGAGTCTGTATGTGAAGTGGTGGCCTCGTGGTTAGCACATGCACTATGATCCTGGTTACCCAGGTTCTATTTCTGGCCCTGAATTTCCAATGAAATTAATAACTGAACCAAACTTGGTCTGAGACTCCCCTTTGGCAAACTCGGCATAGAATTAATACTCGGTGTTATGTGGCCCACATTAACGAGAGGAAACAAAGGTGGCCAGGAATGTCGCTTGCCACACCTTTGCAGGCTTTGCTGGCCTTAGTGCTTGATAATCGCAATTGCCCTGGCAGTTCATGAGGCTCAACAGAGGATGTTTGTCTCGCTGCGTGCGTGGAGAGCGGCAGTGCAGCAGTTATCACACCGCTTTATGAACCCAGAGACTCGAGCTTCATTCCCTTTTACGGCCAACTTCAGGGCAAATATCTGAACCGGTCCTGGGCCTCGCCTCGGTCAACTCAACCTTATTTGAGTACCTGGTGCGGTGTATAAACATCACTATTGGGGTGACAAATGCTGCCGGGCGTGGTGATAGCCACACCACCCCCTCTTGTGCTGCATCCGCCTTCATAGGTGCTGCTCGCTAACGGAACTTGCCCCAACAGTCTGTCACGACTATACGGGGAGTCTTTGTGTGTGTGCTTGCCCACATAAGCGACCATTTCGTCTTCACCTTGCGATGTCTGTGATGCTGTGAAGTTGCAAGTCGTACGGTGGGCTACGTGGGCCTATCCCAGAAACTCTGTGCTTCTTTGCATCATCTACAACGTTTACCGCTTGCAGATATAGTCGCTGACCTATGCTTCTTCCTACCGAGACAATCTATACCTGTGTCTAAGTGAGTGTGTGTATGTGTGTGATGTATGCGAAGTGTGAGTCCTACAATGGACATGCTAACATTTGACTCGTGACATCGGCTCTCAAGAGAGCTCTTCGAGTAATTCTTTACGTACAGACACAGGCCCGAGCGAAGCTTTGTAGCTTAGCCATACGTTGTAAGGACGGCGATGTGCGGGTGAATGCTTACAAGGAATAGAGCGATATCTTGACTCCAAAGTGCTTTCCCCTTGTCCCTGAAATGGGCACCACTGAGTTGGATGGACTGCACTCTTAAAGCTCAAGCAGATAGTGCTGAGTTTGATGTCACCGATTGGACTCTGGGGGCACAACTGAAGTCAAGCACCGTGATACAATGTGCATTTTATTTCCCTGCTCAAAGTAGATGGTTATAAATTATACTGCCAGGAAATATCATTCATCATAATCATCGTTATCAGACAGTCAATCTACTGTTGGATGAAGGTTTCCCCAAGGCGTCGCCAACTCCCACGGATATGCGATGTAACAATTCACTGAGCAGCTGCAAACGAGCTCTCTTCATCGCTCCATTTTGGTGGCTGTTCTCCATTCCGAACTATTTCTAGAATATTCTTGTGGTGGTGACGAGTCGGTCCACGGTGCCCACCGCTATTGATTCACCACCCAGTTAAGCAGCCTCACGAGGTATGATGATGATGCTAGGTCATGGTGATGATAAGTCATTCCTCACAGGCAGTCGATACCAATTGTGTCCCGTGATGTTAGCACAGTAGTTATCTTCATGAAATCCACGCAACATATTTTTCTATTCTCTTCAAGCAGAGAACAATTGAAATGCCCCCTCCATCCATCCATCAACCAAATAACCTTCAAAGGCTCGCATTTCACAAGGCGTGGCCAGTCCCATTTCGGGTGCATTTTATGAGCAAAGCCATAACCGCATTATTAGTATGACTTTAAAAAAATACGTTATGCTTTCAACTCAAATTTCAAAAACACACCCGACGTCGTCTGGGAATTATACAATACACGCACTGAATTACACGTTGCATTTATCTCCAAACCTATAGACTCGCTCGCCAGCATTGGCCTACCCCCGGGTATCACGGCGTCTCTTCCTATGGGTGAGCAGACTCGGCGGTGGGTGACATGCGTTCGTGGTTGTGCGTATTTGCTGGGAGCTTATTCGATAGAAACTTTGGTGCTTTCCACTTGGCAGCAGCCGACATGGCCTTAGTAGCCCTTAGCTTGTCCTTTGCTGGCTTCAAGTTGTGGCACCTGTGCATTTGTCATTTTCAATGACTTCGTCTCGTGCAGTCGGTCTCTGTTGCTTTCATGAGATGTAGCCCAGTGGCTTTTTAGTTTTCCCAAGGCTTCCTGGGTGGGAAGCGTGGCTTCTGCGTGACCTGTGGTGGTCACGTGCTTCGTGTCATCGACAGAAACCATTCTGCTTGCGCACTCCCTGCCAGTCTCGCCGTCCGATATTCAGAAGTCGCTCGCGTGTATGGTGGAGAGAGACTTAGCTTTATTTATTTTCAAATATGAATGCTGGACATGTCCGTGGAGGTGCGCGCATCTCCCAGCAGAAATAAAGCAGCGCCCTTGAAGGGAAGAGCAAATCTTTTGAGAGTTAGCGATTTAAAGAAGAAGGGACAGATAATTGTATTGATGACGTGTGGTGTAGTATTTGCTTTTATCCTGGAACGTGGAGTTGGCACATGCGCTCTGTCTTCTTAAAGAGCAGCCAAGGGATCTTGAATATGCACAGTGAGAAGGTCCTTGTGTCCCTTCACAAGGACAGCACTTCTTACAGCACGGAGCCCCTGGTATTTGGGATATCAAGAGGACTGGCTCAAAAGGGAGTGTACCCTCTTTCTTCTGAGCAACCACCATAACTTTACATCATTAGACCTCCTTTGCCAGTACCAAAATGTAATAATAGGGTTTTTCCCCTTTTTTCTGGCAACAAAACTGAAACCTTTTTACGAGGATTCATGTCTGCATTAACCACAATACCTGCAGTCAAAATGCAAACAAAAAACATACTATGATAATATATGCATTGTCCCTGAAACTGATTGGTCTTCTGGCGTCATGTGGTCGACCACCAATTGGGTCGAGGCTCAAAAGAAAGCCGTCCGTTGGTGTGGACCAATCAGTTTCAAGGACAATGCATATATTATAGTATGTTTTTTGTTTGCATTTTGACTGCAGGTATTGTGGTTAATGCAGACATGAATCCTCGTAAAAAGGTTTCAGTTTTGTTGCCAGAAAAAAGGGGAAAAACCCTATTAATACACCATCACTTTGTTAATCAACATTTTTTCATCTGCTGATCCTGAGCCAGTGATGGAAATTCCACATTCCTGTGGCGGGGTCAAATATATCAACATAAAAATGTCATTTAGACACTACCACCGAATCGTGCCGCCTAACAAAGCGGTATCCGTGTTACTGACCCCAGAGGATGGTGACGGAATGCGATGGCTCTGTCCAGGATTTGAGCTTGTGTGTCATTGTCGGGAGTTATTCTGCCAACTGAGCTGTGTCCCAGCCAAAAGCAATGTTTATGGTCACATTTGACAGCAAATACTACTACAGTTATTAATGATGATGATACTAGAACGGGTGGTAATCGTAAAGTGGCTTTGCAAGCAGCACCCTGAATGTACATGCCCACCTCGTTACACTGTCATGTCGTAAATACGACCCTGTTCTTTTAAGTGTGTTGTTATTTTTATATTTAGAGGATGGTTTAAATTGTTAGTCAAGATCAATGTGAACTGTTAAACTTGTTTGTGCATTTTCAGTCGGTCAACTCTTTGTTAGATGTATTTAAAGATATCAGACAATGTAAATAAAATATGGTACAGTGGTTGTCCTATGTAGACTGGCCACCGCCATAGGAATGTGGAATTACTACCACTGGCTCAGGGCTGCCAATGGAGATAATTTTCAGCAATTTTGGCTTTAACTTGAAGTACAGTATATATATTTTATTGAATATATTGATTTGAATATTGTTTTGATTCTTAGGATGAAAAAGGAAAGGATGCTATGAAGCTCCTGATCGATTGCCTTGGTGCAAACTCGCCAGGTGTGGCGAAATCTGATTTGCTGTTCGGACATGCAGGTAGAGACTTAAATCTCAGCTTCACTGATTTGATTGGTTACCTTGTTCTTCAGACAACGCTTTTTGACCGAAGCCAATTTGTTGGGTTCAGGTCTCACCAGTGCTGGTGGTATTTAGCTGCCTTGGGTTGGGTGAAGGTTTAGAACCTGAGATTTGAAATGAGCAAGGATTTAATACCTGGATGGAGTAAGGCCCCTCTCTTCTTTAAAAGAGTGAGCTTTTTAATTTTTTTGTAATTTAAATGTGTTTGATCCATAATTCTGGTTGTAATTTTTTTTTATATAATTAAAATGTAAGGTAGTTTTTAAAAAAAATATTAAACGTGGTTTCTTTATGACAAAGCATGTGGTTATTTGAGGAAGTAGATACAATAGGTGACGATTTACGGAAGGAGTTTGATATGTGTGAGACAGAGGTGATCTTGCAGTATTGTGAAATATACTCAAGGGAAGGTGATACAGGTTTAAGGTCTTTGTAAGTTGCCGATTTACGGAAGGAGTTTGATATGTGTGAGACAGAGGTGATCTTGCAGTATTGTGAAATATACTCAAGGGAAGGTGATACAGGTTTAAGGTGTTTGTAAGTTGCAAGATGGTTGGTGGTGGGAGACATTTCGATTGTACTCAGAAAGGGAATTGTGTTGAGAGAAACCGTAACGATGGCTGAATACTGCTGTATTGAAGAGTTGTGGGCGACCGGGCATGTTAAGTTGCCCTCCACGGTTATAAGCAGTTGGTACGTTATAACAAAATCAGTGCTGTGAATTAGGCAGCAAGATTTGTCACTGCTCTCAGTTATAGCTGAGATGCACGTTATCACATTTGTGTAATATAAAAGTGATGTCTTTAAACGATACATGAGAGAATTGGAATTCAAATGAGAGATATACACACAAGTCTACTGTTTATAAACGGAGGGAGCTGGAACTCAGAATTTATCTGCGTGGGTGGACACCAAACGGCCCTGGTGGTGGTGCCTCCGCACCCCCCAAACTGCACGCGTCCCTGGCCACAGCGTGGCAGCAGCAGCGGCGGCCTCGCTCGATACGCCGCCTACCCGCTAAGCCAAGACTGTGAAACCAGTAGTAGTACATTTACATAGGCCAAAGGATGTGCAATATGTTTGAATCAAAGGCTATTATTGATGTACTGCCCAAATCCGGTCCTTCGGCTTCTCGCGCTTGTGTGAGTCTTCTCTGCTTTCTTTAACTTATTGTTCATTCTTTATCGACTGCATTCGCGCCAGATGTACCAGATGTCGTCGTCGCCCTTCACTGCGAGTCTTTAAATCGCTTCCTCCCCCCTGCTGCTGCCGCATGGAATGTAGCCCCGTGTCATCTCTTGTTGGCTGGCTGGAGCTACTGATGATGGACAATGAAGTGTTATGTGGCCCCGTGTCATCTCTTGTTGGCTGGCTGGAGGTACTGATGATGGACAATGAAGTGTTATGCTGAAGACTTGTAACGCATTGCTCTGCTTCTTGTCGATGGGGGTTGAAAGCCATCCATCCCTCTGAACGGACAATGCCTGACGACGATAATGTATTGTCTAAAATCCAGGGGTGGATTCGTTAGCTAATGGGAGTGGAGTTTATCTTATGACCTTGGATAACCATGGTAGGATGGGAGTGAAACTGAGACGCTGGCACTTATACATTGCCACGAGCTATGATGCATGTTTGCTGTTTGCAGACAGAGCTATGCGATGGTACCGAGCGGAGGACTGGCAATAATAATAAGAGTACAGTTGTATTGCGCTTATATTTTTTACAAATGCTGCATTGTAGATTCTGGATCGTTGTACTCATGGAGATTAATCAGGGTATTTTAACATTGATGATTCTATAACCGGTTTACGGATGACATCACGAATAAAAATGCATGTTTGAGCAAGTACTATGGTGTCATTTCACGCAAAATAGAAACTCGAGTTGTTTACATTAAAAGTGTAAATCTGTGGAAGGTGAAACACGTGGCGCTGTTGCTGATGTTATCAACATGTGTGCAGCAAATCGTGTTTATGGGCATGTGGTAATGATTGAGAAGGATTCCTCGATATGGGTGCTCAAATACGTGCCTGCTACCGGCGGTGATGTTTTATTATGGCGATTCATAATGGCCACATCAGGGCACCGAAAGCACGTTGAGATCCCGATTTAAAATGTGGGCCTCAGTTGCCCGTGATCAGACTGGGTTCTCGATTGCAGAGAGTTGGTGTTGGTCTAAGCCTGGTCACTGACGACACAAAAAAGTCCCAGAATAATAATAGTTGTTTCACGACATTGTGAATATTCCAGCTGAGGAATAGAGAACTAATGTAGGTGCATTACCATTTGATGAATGCTGTCTGCAGGACCACCTTTTGTGGATCATAAGCCAAAGTCATTTACCATTGTCATCTGGTAGGCCATTCTCTAACACAAGGTGAGGTGTAATGCTCGATCCGAGAATTCTAATGAATTCCTTTGCCTTGTGACCTGATGCTGATAGCACAATCGAATATAATTGGAACAGGATCGGTATTTAAAGAGTTTTGCCAGGCAATTACTGGTGTTCAACTAATCGCGTTGTCATAAAAAGCATATATTTCCACTTTCGCGTTTTGCCATTTGGATCGTTTTCTAAGCAGTATCATAGTTATTTGATTGATAGAATCAGACTGTGCCAGCATAGGACTAACAAAAGCTTTGTTCTGTTCGTCGCATCGCCTCCCTCATTTACAAGCAAAAATCCGTTTAATTTTAAGTTTGTCAGTGTCGTTTTCTGTTGCGTTACATTTCAAATTTAACATCAGAATTTCTGAAATGCTCAAATAAACAGAACAATCATCAGATTATCTGGCAATGACTTTCAGTGTAACCGAATGCTCGGCTTCTTAAGTCAGAAATGTGAGGCTGCCTATGTGCCCTGTAAAATGAGCAGTTGGAGAACACATGTCATACCTTTCAACCCCTTATCAGTGCCTACCTTGTTACAGACCAATTCAGATCTTATTGGTCAACCCGTGCCCTTATAAAACTTAACGTTCATCCGACAGTCTCATCACAAGGGATAAACACAAATAGACAACACATGGCTGAAAGCTTTCGTGACTGCAGGAATTCAAATTATTTGGGTCTTTCGGTAAATCCACGTAGATAGAAAAAAGCAATACAAATTTCACGACGTTTCGATCGCAACACAAGCAATCGTCATCGCATGATGACGACTGCTTGACGGTTGCTCGTAACGGCTGTATGGACCTGAACTCAATTTTTCTGTACAAGAATATGGGTTAACCGTATGGGTTGACATGTATGCTATGTTGAGTGAGCTGTCAAATATATTCTATCCATAAGATATGTTTAATGGCTTAGATCGCGTAAATATAAATGTGTCAAACCCGCTGCCACCCGACATCCAATTAATAAGGTTCAGCACACCGGTGTGTTGGAGAGTAAAACCACAACATTTACAATTAAAGTACGACGTTTCGCCGGGTTTAACTACACATTTATATTACCGCGATCTAACCCACAAACCTGAATATTGGTCGCAAAAGCCGACGTGTTAAACCAAAATTATATTATATGCGGTCGCAATCCACTCGTCTTGGGAAGCTCAAATACGGAGTCCAAAGTGCGGCAGATCAATATCCTTGCGGTTCTGCAGCTGTTGTTTTGGCCGATTAACAACGGGCGAACACCGTATTCTCTGGATTTAGATGCCCTGGAAAGTAAGAGATGTACCCCTAGCTTGTGTTGATAATTTAACACAAATCGGGTCCAGCACACAAAACGCGATTTAACACACTGTCGAGAAGCACGTTGCGTCAATCTGCAGAATCCGGTGTTCCCATCGGCGTTTTCTGGTTTTGATATTTTACTAAGGACCAGGTTATCACATCTTCTTGTGCTTACTGATCGCGTGTTACAATAGCATGTGCGCGCAATAAAGTGCATCTACTGTAGCTCACACGTTTCACCGCCTCTCGACACACAACGTGGCCGTGAGTCTCCGTGAGGTGTCACATGCACCGTCTTCATGCCACTCAGGAGCTCAGCGCCAGCCATTGACGTGCAACAGACGTATCAACACAACAGTCCTACGACGCGCTACTTTTCCTACGTTGTGTGCATCCCAATGCGAGTGATTAGGAGCAGGACTTTACTGACATTGCCGAGCAAAGGTGCCCGAAATGTTGGGTTATTGAATAACCAATGCCGTAATTTGCATTCGGCAGCGTCCACCACATTCTTGTGCATCCATCGGCTAAATTTAAAACAAAAGTTACAATACACAAACCGCCAACATTGAAATGGATTCTCATTTGGATTCTGCATTCATGTCGCCCCGTATTTCAGCAGGGAGATCCATTAACTTGACCGACTGCAAGCTCCACATACACATTTGCGGTCTAGACGTGTTAAGCACTGCTTGCAAGCACCGATTAAGACCTATTCAAGATACATAAGATGATATAGTCTGCACCATACCCAGTCTTCTTCGTGCTGGTAATAACAGTGCAGTATAAATGGTACGATATTGCTTTTAGGCTGAGTACATCTAGAAGAGATCCACGCCAACTTGTGGCACCGTACATGGCTAGGGTTTGAACCCAAGCGCCAGGGCCCCCGGGCAGCGTTAGCCGCCGACTAGGACATGAGAGCGGGGTGCTGATCTCTGCAGACGAGACGTCACCCTTGGAGAGTCTAAACTCCACGTATGGAGTTAAGTACACAAACATCGCACACTAACATTAATGTTTCACCTTAAAGTCAAATAGTATTTGTACAGACTGATTAATACCAGACTCCCACATGCAATTGCTACACAAGGGTTTGCATGTGTACATGAGTGAGAAGCGAGACGACAAATTGTGTGTTAAGTTGGCTCGGACAACACAATGTCGCGAGAAGGGATGACAACCGGTGGTTTTGGAGGCTTCATGATGGAGCTGCAACCAAGGAGGGCAATGCACCAGGGAGACCGAGTGATGGAATCCACCAATGTCCAACGGCTATGGATGATGGCATCACAGGACCGTGATGTTAATGTCTCCGTCTTCATCAGCAACTCGTAGCTCACAGCTGATTATATAATACACTGTAAAGTATTCACAACACCCTTGAGTGTATTCACGCTCTCAAGAAACTCGCCAGGTTACAGATGACAGTTTATAGATGACGATACGCTCGGTCCGCGTGTCATGAAATGAAATCGTTAGGCGACAGTTCAAGTTAACTTACTTTTTAATGACATTTCAAAGGAAATTTCAATCGGTGTTCACGGGGTGGTGGTGGTGGGCCGGTTCACGCGAGCGTAACATGCGTGGTGGAGCAACACTCCTCGATCCAACGAACCTCTCAAAGACGCCGTCAATTAACAATGGTCCGATAGCAGAAATGTTGCATTGTACCTGCTGCAACGGCACATCTTTAAGGTGGCTAAATCACCTTTACAAAGAGGATACATTGGTCAATAATCGTGGAAACGCGTGCTCTCTGGCTGTTTGTAAGTACTGTACCATTACGCTATGATGACAATGGTCTGTTTACATGACGAGACTCGTACAAGGTTTTTGGTGTTAACCCGTTTAAAATAACACTTCTGCTAACATTCTTAGCAGTTTTAGTAACAGCTTTTAAAAGTTACTCATAACTTAAACAAAGAATTATCTTTAAATTAACGCAAACTTTATTTCAACTAAGCATTTGCAGAATAAAATGGGTCAATGCTAAATAAATCAACATGAAGTATACGATTTAAATAACCTAGAAAACACGCACAAAATATTTGTGAACATTTCAGTATTGGCCAATGCAGTAAGAAGACGTCAACTCCCACCAAATCCGACTAACCCAGATTTCAGCAGCATGGGCCCCACAGTGAACAGCAGCTCCATCGCGATGTCGAGAAGAGACGCTCCTGGGAATAGCTTAGCCACGGTAGAAGCCTGAAAGATTGCAACACTGCAGCTCTGTCCACGCAAACTAAACAGCGACCAAACCAAATAGAAAAACACAAAGCCATTGGTGCAAGCGGTGCGATTCGGGCGAGTGGGAGGTGGGCAGACTGATCTCAGAGTTAGTTGAAGGACAGAGTTGGATTGGGGACTCCACCCCACACGGTTGGTGCCACCTCCCGCACGTTGCTCCACGATGCTTTAGTTTACAAAGTAACGTTCCGGTGTGCACAGGGGGCTCGCGCGACGCAAGAGGTCTGGGCCAACGTTCGCAGCCATTCCCTCGGTCGCTTCATTTTTGGTCACTCCACGTTTGTCCCTGCCCAGGCAGAAATTGGAATTCTCTAAATATGGGAATCCAACACCGTGTCAACAGCCACAACCAAACAGGTGCCAAAATGACTACACTCACCCCTCTTGATGGAATGGTTTGCCTTCTGTTGAGCGATTTGTTGCCTGTTTCATCTCAGGGATGTTTCGATGCTGCGGTCACATTCAGGTGACACTGCACCAGACGTTTTCAAAACCACAATTTTCAAAGCTACAATTGCCACTATGTAGTTGCGAGTAGTACAGCACACAGCTTGATTAAATTAACGAAACTTTAAAACTATTGTGGTACCACAAGAAGATAGTGCTGCATTTATTTTTTCATTTTATAAGCCCACGTTCGGACTGTTCCATTTTGACAGGGGGGGGGGCAGCTGGAAGGAACCCAATGGAAGGGCATTCACGGGGAATCATGTCTGGCTAACTCTTGCTAGGCAAACGCAACAAACCCGCACACACTAGGCATATCGTGCACACAGATTAGGATGCATTCACACTAGGCGACGAGCAATAGTGCAGATTAAGGTCATTTTTAAAGAATCGGTGGAAATAGTTAAACTAAAATCAATATGCACGACGATCAATGATCAACTTGATGTTCTTTCGGTTTTTGGTTATAAAATAAAACGAGAGCGTCACTCCTGGCAAGTCATCCGTGGTGTTCGGGTGGAGAGACCGATCCCGTTTAGAACATCGTGGAACACCTCCACCACTGGCTCCCCGCCACGCAAACACTCCCAATGCAGATTGGATGGTGCGTTGCTTAAGCGTTTGGATAACATGTCAGTCGATGGCACAGGTGGACCGGTTTACTTGGTATAGGTCGAGCTATTATTGTATTTCTCTAGTCCAAGCTCAGAATCTCAACTTGAATTGTGGTAATCCTGCCACGTCACCTAGCGGAGCACACGAACTACACACAGGATATGTAAACTACAGCAGTGCAGTGGACTGAGTGGAGGCACAGCTTACGCTCAAGCCTCGGTTCGAGTCCCGCTTCAATCTCACTCAGACTGAGCAGTCTCCAGTCTGTCTTTGAAGCTTGGTATCAAGTGGCTAAAACGCTGTCCACATGAACATGACTAGAATACTCTTAGCCGAGCATATCAACGTCGCTACGTGTTGATTAGTCTGTGAATTCACAGGGGTACAAAATTGGCAAATATTATAGTCGAAGGTTTCGTTAGGCAAAGAACATTCCCTTCATGTGAGCAAACGTATTTTCTTACTTGCCAAGCACTAGCACATCACAGATTGTCAGAACTCATAAATCTTTATGCGAAATAGCAAGTAACACGTCGCTTGTTGTCATTCATACATGCGGCTGGGTGGCGATATACTCACACCACACTCCGTTCACAACCAGGAGGTTGTGAATTAAAATCTTGGTTGGCGGTGGACAATGCGAACGCCTCTCCAATTTAAGAAAATGAGAACCCTGTGCTGCAGTGGAGACTAAACATCGCAAGTGAATGTGGAATTTCCACCACACTCGCTCAGGGCAACTAATGGAGGAATGCCATCTTATCGCTCATGTGAACAGACAGCTGAGATGCGTAATAGGGAAGTTGTTTGAAGCCAGGAAAGGCAAGGTTTTGTTTGGAGCTTGAGAGATTGGTGTTCCTTCCTCCATACGTGAATACACAATTCACTGCCCGAGTGCCTTCACAAGTTCCTGGAAGGGGCTAGTTAACACGTTATGCGCTTAACTTCACTCTCAGTTCTTTAGCAAGCCACCTGTCTCAACGGAGGTAATCCAAGTGGGCTTTTATAAAAGTGTAAAGTATGGACTTTGAATATAGAATCATGCAAATTATTTCTAGCATAAGCAGCACCACCATTTGCAATGGGGGGGGGGGGGGGGCAGTAGGTGGGATTTCGATGCTGCAGATGGTCGTCATGAGTCTGCATCACTTACGTGAAGGTGCTGTAGACCAGGGGATCGTACCCCTTGGCTTGGGTTAACACAAAAGAACGGAGCGCTTGACGACTCACCTTCTATTCTTGGTTCTTTCGGTAGTCACGTAGAAGGGAAACAATAAAATAAAAATATTTTTATTATTTCCCTTCTACAATTAAATAATACAAATATTTTTATTATTTTATTGTTTCCCTTCTACATAACTTACCGAAAGAACCAAGACGAAAGCTTTAAATCAAAAGACTCACCTTCTATGAGCAGTGTCATTTTTATATTGAATAACCCCTTAGTACATTTTATATGTTATGTGCCAAATTTATCTTTTATTGTTATACTCTAATAATACGTACTTTTTCCTGTAAAATTTAAGTCAGTTGGGGTCGTATCAACCTGTCCACATGGAGTGGTGAGTGGGGAGCTCAAGTCTATTGGTTGTCTCCTCCAGGCTGCCAAGTCAGAGAGGATATTTCCAATGTGGTGCTAACTATGGATGCCAGGATGTTGCAGTTCGCGGCCAAATGTGCAAGACGGATGAGGGCAGGTGACACGGGTACAAGAGCAGAGGCCGACATAGGAGAGCAGCAAGATGCAGACACACCCAGACACTAGGAGCCGACTAGAGGAGACCTCAAAGGTTCGGGTGGCGACTGTGCAACAGCTGAAGAGTCTCACAGCAAGAAGCCGTTGCCAGATGTGGTGGTGGCAGCATCGACATCGCTGGCCAGGGCGAGCTCTTGACCTCGACCCATTGTATGGAGAGCCCGAAACGTGTAACGACGCATTGATTCAAGGGTGTAAAGCGAATCTTACACTCACAATGCATGCGTTGTGAGTGTAAGAACCAACTATTTTGATGCATGCAAATGATATGCTCATGTTACGTTGAGGCTAATTGAGTGAACAAAAACTGTACAAACGAGAGGCAGAAAAAGCAACAATACAAACAAGACGGTAAATGAGAGAAGACAAAAATATATTGAATCAAATTGCGGCCCCAAAATTTTGAAAACTGATCGATTCACTACAGGAGTGAATCGTGCCTCATAATGTAGCCACTGTGTGAAACACAGAATGTTTAACATCCAGAGGTTAGAAATCATTTATAAATTAACACCTTATATCGGGGCTAATACTTCTTTTGGCAGTGTCTTCTAGTACTGCAGAAATAATAACTTGTAACAGAGAGCATCTAATACCACTTGTGACATGACATTGTCTTCGTTGTCACCCAACCAACTGCTGACTAAGCCCAAGCCTGATGAAGTGTGTAGACATGCCTGCCACAATGCAATCTGGACCATTTTGGTTGAACTATAACTATATATCACAGGGCTTCCAATTGACTTATGCCAGTGATTGGCTGGGTGAGATATGGGGAACCATGTGTGGTACTGGCACATGGGGCACAGTTAAAAGTAAACATGTGAATATAAAAAACGGGCACACACACACCAACCAAACAATCGGCATTCACACCTGTGCATTCGTGTGGGCCCTTTGAGACCACACAGTAGGCATTCCCCCAGCTTAGCATGGACTGGGGAATATTTAGGACAACGTTGAGTGGACCACTCGTGTCGGAGAGGAGGCGTGAAGGTGGAAGTGGCGACGCCGTCAGCGAAGGAACCGTGCTCTCTGGGCGAAAGGTTTCCCTGGAAAAATGGCTGCTGGGTCGAACTTGAAACTGGAACGAGAACAACAAAACCCACAATCGTTATGAAAATTGTGTGGCTTATGATAATTTGGTGGCCTTATTTTAAGATTGATTTTGACTTATGCTGGGGTGATGATCTCTGATTAATTTAAGACTGGCTGCATTTGAAAACAAATACACCATAATCGGCCATGTTCTATCCATTGCTAAATGGTCTCCCCTCATGGTTACCAATCCTTCATAATCCTGCAATGCCAGAATTGCGCTCCTGTGCATGAGATGATCTCAATCTAGCTCCACGGTTATTGCAAAGGGAGCGTTTTCTCCTTTGGGTGCCATTCTATCAATCAGTCTTGTCCAAATGCTATCATCCTATGTCTCCTGGCCAAAGCCCCCTTAGTTTTAAGTCAAGAAGATGTCACTAATTTTTTCCAAGCCAAGCTAGCTTTATCTTGATCTGTACTGGCTCCATCAACCCAACCATAACCGGCTCAAAGGCTGGGTGGGAGGCTGACTCCGGTCTCCGTAACGCCGCTCGTCATTGCAACCTCTCACCCCAGGTCCAGCGCCCCGGGCGTGCGGCAACTGGGGCCGTGGCACGACTGAAGCATGATGAGCCGCTGGTTCATGCGCACGAGCACCGAGGGGTCGACGTTCTTGGCGATGTTGGTCAGCTGATCCGGGTCACTGGTCACGTTGTAGACTTCGACAAACTCCTGTCGGGAGGAAGGGAGGAGGTGTAGACGATAGCGCTAGGTGCCGTGTGTGTGGTGTACGGCACTTATAGGAAAGGTTGGGGCTTCACACAGGAAGTGATCACCGAATAGCCATGACAAAGTGAAAGGGTTTTTTTTCCCCTACACGTTTCTCCTGAAGTGCAAAACAATCGGTCTATCAGTCTTATTATACCTGCCAAGAATAACTGTTTGTTTTGAATCTCAATGTATCCATTCATCGCACCTTGAAACACCATGTACTTGGTTCATCAATACTCCCCAGGTTTAATCCGTGCCTGGAAGAAAAAAAAAATCTTCCTCTTGCTCTGAAATGCAGCTATCCACAGCATACAAAACACTTTCTCCAAAAGATCATTTATTCAATCTGATAACATTGAAGTTACTTTGAAAGTCTAAAAGTGGGCATCCTATGGTGAGCCTGGTCACTGTTATGGAAATGTTTTAATGGCAATTATTTACTCAGGAAAGCGTCATCGAGTGTGAAGACTTCTCCAAAGGCCCTGCATTGGGATGTTTGCACGGTTCCATTCATGAAAATTTGGCAAACAAGAGGAAACTGAAGTACCCAAACAAAACCCAAGCGTACGAGCGACACGCAACACTGCCATCTCACCTCGCAGCTCCATCAAGCCCTGGTGGTCACCCATCCAAGTACTAACCAGGCCTAACCCTGCACAGCCTCTGAGATGCAATGAGGTCGGGCACATTCAGCGTGAGCGTCGTAGACCACGGTGTCATTTGCAATTATCAAAGCAGATAATGGGCCACAAATGGAGACCGCTCTATTTAGATTTGAGCAGAGACCCCTTGACAAACGTGAACATATCAGAATAACAGTACAGTCGGTGCAGCTATGAGAAACACAGCCGAACATGAGCATAGCGTCCCGGCACACGGCGAACACGGGTGGTTGTTTGCCTCGTTCGTTAGTCGCTCCAAAACCTCTCGTGTGGTGAAAAGGGCCTTGACGAATGCTAAGGCGAGCACTGCAGCACGCTCTTGAGCACCCATTACGTCTGTAATGAGTGGTCAGGTGCTAATTGATCTGTCCGCAGGTGCCGAGTGGCGGTGGAAACAACAGCGGCGTGGTTCAATACGTTCTGCGATGATTCGCAAAAACACAAGCGCACAGAAGCTGAGAAGCAGCCCGAGCTGTTTGGGATTACTGCATTGCATTAAGTAGCGAGCTCAAAATCTTTACCCACGAAAGCCTCTTGCTTTATGTACATCTCTGCTTGGGAAGTTGGTGGCAATATGCCAGCTGTGCCCATGTGGTATTTCATGTCATCGTCAAATACCCACATCATGCAAGTTCCATGTCACCTTCCTCAGACCCAAAGTGTCGTGATGTTATTTTTAAATAGGTTCCGCTTACAACATTGGGCCAATTGAGATTTTTTTTTTTATTTTAAAGGAATCCACAGTGCCTGGAGAAAGATCGAACGTGCAAGGGGAGAATCCTTAATCATTAAATTTGTCAACCTTCTTGCTGTGCTGCCTCCAAAGGGCACATCAATTTCCATGTGGTGCATTAGAAACTCGGAGCATGACTTTACAAGTTTAATACAATATTTTAATGTATTCAGAGTTGGTAATCTAAAATAAAAATTACTCTTAAAAATATGTTAAATTTCATGGACTGTTAAAAAAGAGTTGTCATTAATTCCCCATTCAAACCAGCTCTGAGCAGCTCTCTGTTTTGGTAAACATTGGAGGTGGAAGTTGCGTATCCTTAAAGAACCAGTCACGCCAGAAAAATTCCACTGCATAATTTTATAACGTAGTTTTAATTTCATGAGGCCTGGAAGGGATGATGTTCTAAATCAATTTATAACCTTCGATTGCGAGTCAAGAGCAAATAACCGCAGCGCTACCCAACAGATCACAGGGGGACATTGCAGAAATATTTTGGCAAAAACAATGAAGGCCACTGCCGTGTCACTGTGCCAGAGTCTGTGGCTTTCTCCATTTGCCATGCCAGGCAGATCACACTGCCCTTAGACAGCATGAGGCTGTCTTCTTATTACACGCTTTTATTTCACTCACTCTGTTGTTGTCGTATCCTCAAATCTTGTAACTCAATTTTAACCCACTTCCCAATGTGGTATCGACTGAAAACTTGGTATACTTATGTCATACTGATGACAATACTATATTCTATCATTAAAAATAAATAAATAAAAATTCCAAACAATCTTTTTTATATGTTATGTTTCGACTTGGGTCTAATTGTCCACGTTCAACTGACGTTGGGCTGTAAATCACCATGGTCCCTTACGTTATGGCAAGCTTCGGGGCCACTTCCTGGTAGACCGTGGAGTTCTGTCATACTCATACGGTACATTTCATTAAAGCATTTCATTAAAGCGTGTTTTAAAAAAAGTTTTGCCTGTGATCACACTGCCCGAGACAGTGTGAGATTGTCTCGTTTTGCCTGTGTGTGTGTGTGCCTATGTGGGGAGCGGTGGTGCAGCGGTTATCGCACTCTGCTACGAACCTGGTGACCCAAGTTCAATTCCCACTCATGAGCAAAAACCTTGGCGAATATCTGACCGGTCTTGAAGCCTGCCTTAAGTCGACTCAGCCTCAAATAAGTACCCGGTACAATGTATAGACATCACCACTGGGGTGACAAAGGCGGCCGGGCGTGTTGCTGACCACCCACCCCTTCACGTGCCATGCTGGCCTTCTCATTGGGTGCTCGCGAGCACCACTTGCCCCAAACGTCTATTATGGCGATATGGGGGAGCTTAGTCTTGGATATGTGCCAATGCCTGCCTCCGTTGTTATGGGGGGGTGCGTTTCATCACCTCTGTGTCGGCAAACTCGCAGTACTGCAGGTTGGCAGTATCGGAGAGGGTGCGCACGCACGCATACGTGTTGTTGATCGAGTCCTCGCACACGCAGTCTGGGAAGCAGTGCTGGGAATAGAACAGTGCAATATTACCACAAGACAAACGCCTGCACTCAAGACGTTGCAATACTTCTCCCTGCCTTAGAGTCTCATATCCACTGGTTCTCTAAAAAAAGGTTTGATGACCAAATATTTCAAGGTTAAGAGGTACAACACCTTACTGTAACTTGCTTGTGCTAGATCTCACAGCTGTTGCACAGCGAGTACAATGGTGCACCTTAAGGTCTGCCCTTTCCTTACAGTATTTGGTTTTGTTCTCAGTTGCTGAGAACAAAGCCTTAAGATCTATAATGCAATTTAATCGGCAACCGAGACCACTGATAGAACACCACACAGGACCAAACACGTGTGGTGGTGGTGTTTGGAAACGAGATGATGGGGGAGTTCCAAAGTTGGCCAGTACCGTCCTGCGACTACGGTAGTCAAACATGAGAGTACGGACGAGAACCGTGATGCTAGCGGAGGTAACAAGGCGTGAAGTCCCAGTAAGACGAAATGGTACGCCATCCTATAATCTGCCCAAACCAATGCCTGTCTGAATAACCTGCAATTCTCCATCCAGCAAATTTTCCTGTTCATCCCAATCAATGCCCACTGTTTTCCTGTCACTTTTTATTGTAATATTTCAGGTTGTTTACTCTTTCCTACCACAATTATTTTAAATCCTTCTCAAGTGTCCAGAACTCAAATGCTATTCGCTCTTTTTCTAGCTACTTTATTATATTCCCGTTTCGAACATCAGCTTATTACATACTCCATTTCTGCACTTCCATCTCATCTTTTTGATGAATGGAATGTTATAAATATTTGATTCATATTTAATATATTTATGAATGATGCACTTTTTCCCCACTGTTTCAATACAGCATCTGGATATGCGGTCACACCAAGCGCTCTATAAATCCACATTGTTCTTGGCGTTTATGGTTATTACAGGGGTGCGTTTGGTAATGCCTTGGGTGATGAAGTATTTTCAGCCTACGCTTCTCTGTAACACTGCCAATGTTCGCAGGGCACTTACAAAAACGCCTGGGCCCAAGTTGGGACAGTGGGGGTCGCTGTGGGCCCCCTGGCCCTGGTATTCAACGAGCACATCGGTCCTCCACGGTGCCTTGCTCGTCTCGTTCTGCAATCGCACGCAGATTCCCACAGAGCAGGCAGACGGGGTCGGGTTAACGCACTCCCATTGACCGCCACCACATTCCACAGCACGTGGCCCATTAGGCCGCATTTGTTGTGCAGCCATCAGGGCTCACGGAGATTTAAGGAGAAACTCGGAAGCACACTGCTGCTGCTTTACGATCGGGTAGTCACTGTGTGTGTGCGCTAATGTATGACGGAAACCATCAACATTCCCTTCTATTCTTCCAAGCTCAGCTCTAAATCCTTAGTCATCACTGGTCTCGCACTCCGCCAGTTCGTGACCATGGTGCGCCCCCTCCTGGCTACGATGGGAACGTTATTAATCAGCTTCAACCGTGTCCACAGCCAACACCTGATTATATTTATGAAAATTTAAGCTTTTGCGATCGCATTTTCGACAATTTTCTTCCATATCTCTAACAGAACACTGACCGCCGAGTTGTAGATGGCGAAAGAGCCACTTACAAAGCAAGGTGAATGATATAAAATGTAATCCGCGTGAATGTAGAGGCATTCCGAGAGGTGCAAATGTATATTCTTAGTTTTTTCGGTAAAGTCACGTTGAAGAGAAACAACAAAATAACAAAATATATATAAAACAATAAAAATTCTCACGACGTTTCGACCATAACTCAAACGGTCATCATCAGGTGTGTCGGTTTGCATAAATTTATTTTGAAAACGGCATATTTATTTATTTATATAAAAATAACGTTTGCGTCACGCGCAACGATTGGCTGTTTGCCAGGACTAGTCCATCTATTTTTTGAAAAGAGGAGGGGGGAGACGAAATTTGTTTTTATGTATGCTGTCTGAAAGCCACTGTAAGCGTGAACAATCAATCAAGAACTGAAATGATTTATCAAATCTTTCCAATGATTGCTAAGATAGAATCCATCTTCTCGGTTGAAATTGTCTCTGTGTTTGTATATGTGGATAGCCTCATGAACGAATCTCTCATGGAAGCCAGATGGCTTACAAAGAACCTCCGTCTTGGAAAAGTCAATGGCATGTGAGCCTACTGAATTAGAACAATGATCTGCTACGGCCGAGGTGTTGGTCCTACCGTGTTTAAGGTCTGCTTTATGTTCACGAATGCGGTCCGAGATATGGCGTTTGGTTTCTCCAATGTAACTACTACCACAGAGGCAACTTAGTTTGTAGACACCAGGGTATTGTATGTCCGGAATCACATCTTTTACAGACGGAACCAGATCACGGATTTTATGTAATGTGTTGAAACGGACCTGGATCTTGTGTTTATTCAAGATTTTGGAGATCTTTTTTGTGATCCCAGCAATGTAGGGTAAAGTGATGGTTTTGAAAGGCTCCTCAAGAGGGTTCTTCTTCATGGTTTGAGTGATAGCTTTGCGGATTGTATAGTCGGAGTAACCATTAGCCCTAAGAGCTTGGTGTACGTGCTTGAGTTCACTGCTTATGTGTTCCTGGTCGGATATGCATTGGGCTCTATGATACAGAGTCTTGATGAGAGAATTCTTCTGTGATGGATGGTGGTGGGAATCCGGTTTCAGATAAGCATCCGTATGGGTAGCTTTCCTGTAGACAGAGTGGCTCATTGAACCATCAGGTCTCTTTTTAATTAGGACATCCAAAAAAGGTATCTTGCCATCTATTTCGACTTCCATGGTAAATCTGATGGCTGGGTGTATGGAATTGATGTGGTCGAAGAATTGGTCTAGAGCAGGCCGGCCATGTGGCCAGATGACAAAAGTGTCATCCACGTACCTCTTCCATAAGGTTGGGCGCAGAGTGGCAGTATGGATGGCGTCAGTCTCAAATTTCTCCATGAAAATGTTAGCTATAACTGGAGAAAGGGGGGAGCCCATTGGGGTGCCCTCAGTTTGTTTGTAGAAAGTTCCATTCCAAGTGAAGTATGTATTGGTTAAACAGTGTCTCACCAGGGGGGGTACCTCAGTGTTTAGTCCTTGATGAACCAAGTCTTCAATGATTGCAATGGTGTCAGGTACAGGAACCTTGGTGAATAAGGAAACTACATCAAAACTGACAAGCAGGTCGTCTGGGGACAGGGAAATACCCTTGATTGTTGATACCAGGTGAGTAGAATTTTGTACCGCAGAGGTGGTCTTTCCAGTGAAAGGACGCAGGATTTCAGACAAAAAACGAGCTAGTTTGTAGGTGGGGGAGCTGATAGTAGAGACTATGGGACGAAGAGGTGTATCAACTTTATGTATTTTTGGTAAGCCGTATAATCTTGGTGGCCTGGCAGCAGAAGGTTTCAATAAAAACTGTTTAGATTGATCAATTAATTAAATTAAAAAGAGACCTGATGGTTCAATGAGCCACTCTGTCTACAGGAAAGCTACCCATACGGATGCTTATCTGAAACCGGATTCCCACCACCATCCATCACAGAAGAATTCTCTCATCAAGACTCTGTATCATAGAGCCCAATGCATATCCGACCAGGAACACATAAGCAGTGAACTCAAGCACGTACACCAAGCTCTTAGGGCTAATGGTTACTCCGACTATACAATCCGCAAAGCTATCACTCAAACCATGAAGAAGAACCCTCTTGAGGAGCCTTTCAAAACCATCACTTTACCCTACATTGCTGGGATCACAAAAAGATCTCCAAAATCTTGAATAAACACAAGATCCAGGTCCGTTTCAACACATTACATAAAATCCGTGATCTGGTTCCGTCTGTAAAAGATGTGATTCCGGACATACAATACCCTGGTGTCTACAAACTAAGTTGCCTCTGTGGTAGTAGTTACATTGGAGAAACCAAACGCCATATCTCGGACCGCATTCGTGAACATAAAGCAGACCTTAAACACGGTAGGACCAACACCTCGGCCGTAGCAGATCATTGTTCTAATTCAGTAGGCTCACATGCCATTGACTTTTCCAAGACGGAGGTTCTTTGTAAGCCATCTGGCTTCCATGAGAGATTCGTTCATGAGGCTATCCACATATACAAACACAGAGACAATTTCAACCGAGAAGATGGATTCTATCTTAGCAATCATTGGAAAGATTTGATAAATCATTTCAGTTCTTGATTGATTGTTCACGCTTACAGTGGCTTTCAGACAGCATACATAAAAACAAATTTCGTCTCCCCCCTCCTCTTTTCAAAAAATAGATGGACTAGTCCTGGCAAACAGCCAATCGTTGCGCGTGACGCAAACGTTATTTTTATATAAATAAATAAATATGCCGTTTTCAAATAAATTTATGCAAACCGACACACCTGATGATGACCGTTTGAGTTATGGTCGAAACGTCGTGAGAATTTTTATTGTTTTATATATATTTTGTTATTTTGTTGTTTCTCTTCAACGTGACTTTACCGAAAAAACTAAGAATATGAATTACTGCAGTCACGAAAGCTTTAAATCAAAATTTAGGTGCAAATGTAGTTGACGTTCTGTGACATCTCTCGGCGTCTCACCAGTAGCGGCAGGAGGGACATCCCGTCAATGTCGGTCTTGGACACGTCGAGGCCTGCCAGCTCCAGCAGGGTGGGGGCTATGTCCACGTTCGCCACCAGTTTCTACAACAAGCGACAACGGGCAGTTACTCTCATCCCCTGTGCAGGGGGAAAAGCTGGGAGCAGGAATCAACTGTTGGATGGACGACAACAGAAGGAACATCCAGAGGTGAGTCACATTCCTGAAGAGCTGTAGGTAACCGAATGGCACTTGCTTTAGATTTCCCAACCCAAAAAGAATGTTGGGTATTAAAAGCCTGCTTGGGGGGAGTGGTTGAATCAACTCTTCAGTGGCCTATAGAGTACTAATATGAGGGAAGTGAACAGTGGTTGTCCAATGGAGAGCCCGATCCTCATCAAGGGAATATTGAATTCCCACTGTCAGCTCAGACGGGTAGAAAATGTTGCGCAGCACTGTATTAATCACTTTCTTTTTTGGAGGCATAACCAGACGTTCAATATCCATAATCTGGCTTCAAATATATAGCAAAGGAAGCAAAAGATGTATAGACAAATGCAATTTACTTACAATCAGATAAGAGCTCATTGACGGTAGAGGAGTGATGTAGTGGTAAGCGCACTGACTCATCAACCAGGTGACCCGAGTTTGATGCCCAGCCAACATCAGTGGAAAGTGGTGTTTTTATGGCCACCCACCTTTGCCAGGCCAAACTTACTTGCAGTGGCTTGAAAACAGGCCGTCAACTACCATTTCTATTTATAAAGAGCTCATTGAGATTAAAAGTCTTCGGAGGTAAATTCCAAATGAAGGCGGTGAAAGTCAACGCGTGCAGCGTACGCACCGAGCACTTCTGGTTGGCCGCGACACCGGGCCCTCTGAGCAGCAGCGGAACCCGGATGTCGAACTCGTACAGCTGGGACTTCTCGACGGGTAGCGAGAACTGGCCTGCAAACAACGAGCAGATGTCGTGCGTAAAAACGTCGTCGTCACAATCCCGCATTAAACTCCGCTGCTCATGTTCACCTCTTGTAGGCCATCTCCCTGGCATGAGGAGCTTTGGGGCAGCGTTAATCTGTTTCTGGCCAAGAGGTCGTGTTGGAAAATTCCACAAGCTTATCACAGAGACCAGTCTGTCTAAAGGACCACTGTTTACTTCCCACGAAATGACAAGTTCAACTCTGGATTATCCCGATTTTATATCTTTAGGCACATACAAAGAAAACTTTAAAATCTGCACTTTGGTTAATCATTAGCTGCTCCCTCAATTGTGATTCACCGTAAACACGTTGGCAAGTAAGCAAGTAAAACGTATTCCCATTGTATAGGCAAAACAAGAATGAAACCGCTTACCTAATTTGTTTGAATTCCTTTACCCTGCTTGTTTTATCCAGGTCACCCCTCCCTACCATTACCTCAGACAGAGTAAACTGTGTTCCATTTATCAACCCTGAAGAGCTGATGGGGATAAGTCAATCCCAGACTAGGATTTGAACCAGGATCCTCGAAATTCAGGACATGAGTGCTGCCCCGTTGCTAGTTTGAACAGAGATACCGCCTAGACTTTTTGGATTTGTATTCATCAACATCAGGCGGAGAAGCAAAACTACGCAAAATGCCCACTTGCTCCACAGAGTAACCTCCGGGAAGCCAAACGGCAGCTAAACATGTGTTCATTAGAGTGGATTACCTGTGTGATAGCCGTTGTCGGACGTGAACAGAATGTAAGTGTTTTTCAGGTCTCCAGTTTCCTCCAGCTTCTTGACCACTTTCTCCACGAGGTCATCAACAGACAGCAGAGTCTGCCACCTGCAGGCAAGCACAAGCAGGGCACACCCAAGCAGTGGCGTCATCATCATCATGCGCAATGACGGATCTTTTGCTGGATCTTTTGCTGGATGATCTCCCCAGACCGTTGCTATTTCTCACGGTCATGCGATGTAACAATCCATTTTGTTCCCGCACATGAGCCGATTTGATCCCTTTGTCTCCACAGTGGACGACATTTTGGCATCCGCTTCGTCATTAGCCTTACCTACTGGGTTCACAGCAGGCATGGAATCGTTCACTCCCACCACAGCACAAAGATTCATCATGATTCAGGGATCGGAACTGGATTCAACACTATATTATTTAATCAGTCTAATTTTTTTATCCTCTAATATATAATTTATCTCCAATGCATCCCATTAGCAAAATTATAGCTTATGCACACAGGTCATGAATTGTAAACAAATGATCAATACGCACCTTCCAATAACTCCCCTCCTGCATATTGAATCGGCGACATTCAACTGATTTGCCTCAGAGGTGACAGAGCATCTACTTTGTTGGAAGTCAATAGCGAACAACCTCTGTTGACTTTCAAATAAATGTTGAACGCTCAAGAAAAAAAGGGCACCGCCAAGACTGTTTCAAACTAAGGTGTTGTAACAGCATTCAGCGGTCTCCTCTGACAATTTAACTGCTATAGTCATCCACCACTTGTCTGGCCTAAATTCTCAGAGGACTCCGCTTAATGTTTATAATGACGGTTACCGTTGGAGCAAAACAAGTGCCACACTTCCAAAGATCCACGTGGGACCTCTGGTGTTGCCTCCAAGGTGTTGCACATAACACAGGGTACAGCAGCTGTTCTACTATAGCAAGGGGGGCTCTGTTTGATGCTCAGCATGTGAGTACGAGCTGTGATGTTACCTCTTTCTGAAGACCTTGTCCAGGTACGCGATCGATGTGTTCGCCATTGGAGTGCGCGCCTGACGTATCAACCAATGCTTATTCTGAGAGAACAGCACACCAACCAGCATGCGTACCACAGCAGTGTTATTGTGAATATAAAGTTACTGAACTATTTAATTGCAATTGCAAATAATCTGATAAAATAAATCACATGGATTTGGCCACCAATCCAGTCAGCCTGTGCTGTGGTAAAGAGAGCGCCCAACTCGCAATCTGAATTCTGCAAGTTCAAATCCTGGTCGGAGTTGAAATTGGCTCATCATCCTTTGAGGTTACTCTAACGCCTCTGTGCAACAGCAAGAATAGCAAGGTGCACTGATGTCTTCCAGGAGCTCCCCCGTTTATGCAATTCAGCAATGTAGCTTATGTAGAGCAGTTGTACCCCAGTCATGTCACTCAAGGACATTACGATGATGTGCCTGTCACGTTTTCACACTGACATTCCATTAATGAGGCTCAAACAAATTACCACCTGTTTGTTTCTGTGTTGTATATTGCTTTTTACCTCCCCCCCCCCCCGCAATTTCATCCCAATCGCACAGCAGTGCAACCCACCATGTAGAAAACGGCCACACAAATAAGGGGGCAGAACTGTTCCACCTGCTCTGCCACTGAAGATAATATTCGTCACATCACAGATCTCGAGCTTACCAAATTTAAGTGCAAATTTTTTTTACTTAAAGCTTTCGTGACAGCAGGAATTCATATTCTTTGGGTCGTTTGGTAACGCCACGTAGATAGGTTCAAAGAAAATAACAAAAACTACGTTTCTATCGCAACACAAGCAGTCGTCATCGGGAAAAGGGTGTTATAGCCTCTAAAGGCAAACTGTTTATAAAGGTTTAAAATGGGCGTAGCCAAAGTGTCAGCAGCATGGGCGGGGCAGCGAATGTTAATGTAAGTGATGGGCAACGACGGCGCTGGTGGTGCGTTTCCACCAATTAAAAGACTGTCAGGTAAAAATTAGCATGTTAATGTAAGATTGTCGAGCGGCCTCCATGGCGAGCGCGCTGAGATGGCTATGTTAATGAGAGATTAGCATGTTAATGTAAGGTCGCAGAGTCACCACCACGCAAGGTCGGAGCGCGGAGGTGGCTGTGTTGGTGTGAGAAATTGAACCTGTTCATGTAAAATCTGAGACAGACACCATGCAGGCATCCACTCTACATCCGTCCTTGTGGAAGAGGTATGTAGATGACACGTTCGTCATCTGGCCACATGGCCGACCAGCTCTGAACCAATTCCTCAACCACATCAATTCCATACACCCAGCCATCACATTGACCATGGAGGTGGAAAAGGAAAGAGACCAGATGGCTCAATGGGCTACTGTCTACAGGAAAGCCACCCATACGGATGCCTACCTAAGACCTGACACCCACCACCATCCATCCCAGAAGAATTCCCTCATCAAAATTCTACACCATAGAGCTCGATGTATTTCCAACCATCATCACCTAGCCAGTGAACTGAAACAAGTACATAAAGCTCTCAAGACGAATGGATATTCAGACTACACAATCCATAAAGCTATCACCCCAACCGTTGGGAAAGAACCATCTGGGGACCCAATCAAAACAATCACCTGGCCATACATAGCAGGGGTCACCAAAAATATTTCCTAAATCATAAGCAAACACAAGATCCAAGTTCGATTTAACACAGTACATAAAATTCGTGATCTGATCCATCTGTGAAGGATATGATCCCTAACATGCAATACCCCGGCATCTACAAACTAAGCTGTGTCTGCGGCAGTAGTTACATTGGGGAAACTAAGCGACATGCCTCGGACCGTGTTTGTGAACAAAAGGCAGATCTGAAACAGTGTACGACCAATACCTCGGCCGTAGCTCATCATTGTTTTAATGCGGTGGGCTCACACGAAATTGATTTCTCTAAGACGAAGGTGCTTTGCAAACCCACTGGCTATCAACAAAGATTCGTTCATGAAGCCATCCATATTTACAGACAAAGACACAATTTTAATCGAGATGGGTGCAAACTTAGCAATCATTGGAATGAGGTTATCAACCAGTTTAAGTCATAACTGGCTGTGATATTCCCATCCTGCCACCTTCCGATGTTAGTTATTTTCAGCCCTCCGATTTTACATTAACAGGTTCAATTTCTCACACCAACACAGCCACCTGGATTCAAACCCAGGGTTTCAGTGGTGCCAGCTCGGATCTCCGATCCCCCCAGGGTCACTCAGCGCCATCCTTCAAGGAAAGCGAGCGGACGAGCGTGGGCACACCTTGCCGTGCACGTTGAAGCTTTTGGTGCGTGGTGCCCGCGTGTCGGGGAAGCTGTTGGCGTACTGCGGCGCCACGTCCCACGGCTCATGGGGGGCGGGCGGAGAGATCATCATGAAGAAGGGACTCACGCGCCACCGGTCCTCCAGGAACTCCACCGATCTGTTCGTCTGCCGCCCCACGCGCACGCAGACCAGCTCGGTGAGCGATGGCATCATCAGATTACCCAGCGATTCTTTATGATGGTTTTGGTTCGCAGCGCATCCTTCTGGGCCCCATGAGTCATACGTGTGCCTTTCGAGAAATTCTGAAATGCAATGGCTGCTCATTAGATAAGTTTAATATTAGAATCATCTCTGTGTAACCGCCTATGTTTGTTCGTAGAGAAGGGAGCGACCACAGACTTGGTGTAAACTGCCACTATAACCATGTGTAGAGTAGTAGTGACATCATGTCACGCTCGCCCTCTGGTACGATGACGTCACATATGGTGACGTCATGGACAGGGGGCGGGGTGGAGGACATCATGTCCCCCTGGGTAATTTAGGTTGGGACCGGTGACGTGTTCATGGTCGTTGCGGGGAGCCAGGAACGTGTGAAGTTGGGAGTGGGACCCAGGGTAGGGGGAGCGAAGAGGGTAGAAATAGAGGAGAGCAGAGTGCCAGGCTAGACGTGGCTGTGCTCCTCGGTTGGTCGTGTTGGCTGAGCCCACGGCCGGCGCAGAGGAGACCGCACAGGGCAGCCGGCTCTGTCGGGACCTAGCCCGGGACCCTTAACCCCTGGGAGTTGTTCACCCCTGTGTGTACTGTTAAAGCTTAGTAATAAACCAACTGGCGCAAGCCCCTACATGAAGATCTGCCTCCGAGTCGTCATTTACGCCTCAACACATGTATTACAATCATAAAAGACCTTTAGGAGGATCCTTAAGAGGAGATATGACAAGCCACAAGTACATGCTCATAGTGATTAAGAGAAAAGAGTGGATGGATTATTCTTTGCAAGGCAATGAAGTGAAGGTGATATTTGTTTGAATAGAATAATATAACTCCAAAATAGAGAGGTATTTTTTGGCAGAGTAAAGTTTTTTTCTTGGATACTCTTTGTTGTGTTTGTCCAGTAAGCGTACTTTAATACTTGGGATGAGAATACACCGATAGATTAATGTACAATTATATACAATTACACAACTGTGAATGATATTATGTAAGCAGGCAATGTGCTAAATAATTGTCTAATGTAACAAATGGGTTATTACAGAATACAGCGAAGCTGCATCTCCGCGCATTATGCAAATGCGTAAAACTTAGAATGGAGACTGTGTGTGAGGAAAGTGAGCCACTCACTATTAAGTCCGTTAAATAGTCCATCGTGTAGTTCTGCCCATGGAATTCTTCCTTGCCATTGTTAGACACGGTGTAGTTATAGTACTTGGAATTCTTCACCTGTGCAACCGAAAGAAGATGCGTACAGAACATGACTCTTACTCGATTTCAGTGAGACAAGACATCAATCCCTAAACACTGACTCCATCCCAACTATGTTCCCACACTCCTCCTCTTGAAGCCTTGAGCAGTGGTGCGGAGTTTTATTCCAAACTCGGGCATCTTTCCGTGTGGCGTTGGCATGTTCTCTCCGTTCGGCATGGGTTTGCTCCAAGTTTTCTGGTTTCTTCCCATTGCAAAAAAAACCTCATGCAATATAACCAGTATTGGCCAAAATATCCCAATGCTGAAAAAAGTAGCACTTCGTGTGATAAGGCAAAGGCAATGTGGATGCATGCGCGGTGCTTGCCGTACTACCACCCTTGTAATGCCATGCAACCTTTAAGAGATGATCGTTAACAGCCCTTATCTCATTTTTCTATGCGACTACACTGGACAATTTTGATTTAAAGCTTTCGTGACTGCAGGGATTCATATTCTTGGTTCTTTCGGTAAAGTTACGTAGAAGGGGAACAATAACAGTTTAGAGTTTGTGAGTGTAATGTCTATTTGCAAGTATAGCAAAAACAAAGCCATCAATTTACTTCTCAAATGAATACTTGATAGGCACACATCAGTTTAATGTACCTGATAGAGGTAAAGCATTCCACATTCCCATGACCGGGGCCAGTATATCCATAAGAACAGGGGTCAGCAAACTGTGGCTCTTTAAATACTGCTTTGTGACGTTATTTATTAAGGACCACATCCTCGTATTCACATTGCGGCTCTTGAAAGAGTTTTTTTTTTACCGAATTCGAAAAAAATGGCTCTTCCTGTTATTTTGGTTGCCGACCCCTGCCCTAGGCGTTTCATAGATGAGCTGTGGTACAAACTACAACAAAGGGAGATTAATCTGATAGCAGAGACATTGGGCAACCAGACCTACAGTGGCCCCGCCTCGTGATTCCCATTGTGTTGACACTCACCAAGCCCAGCCAATCATCCCAGCCTGGGGGCACGTACGAGGGGCCACCCACTTCAGCAGATCCGTACTGCGCACGTACGCACAGGGGCAGAGAGCAGAGTGACCTTCTGTAACTTAGTTTCTGAGAAATATTTCACTGGTTACGCATTTGTAATTCAAAATATATCACCAACCTTAATCCAATAAAGATGTATGAATGGGCGGGAGGGTGATAGGCAGAAAGGAAGGCAGACATTCAGAAAGGTAGACTGACAGACCAACAGATATGCTGACAGATGTGCGGACCAAAAGACCCATAGACTAGAGACGGAGGCAGACCGCCATCCAGCCAATCAATTCACCGACCGGCCATAGAGCCCAACAGGCAGAACTACCTGGTTCAGGTACTTCCCAGCGAAGAAAGTCTGGTACCCAGCGGTGCGCAGGCGCATGGGCAGGGCATACGGCTCCTCGCGCTTCTGCCACGTTGCTCCGCTGCAGTTGCCCTGCAGGGAGTTGTTGGTGACGCCGTGGTTGTGCGGGTACTTGCCCGTCAGCAGGCTGCTGCGGCTGGGGCAGCACAGTGGGCTCGACACAAACTGGCGCAGCATACAACAACAATGATTTATCATCCCCCATCCACAGAGAATACGGATCAGCCACAGCTTGTCTTACCGAGTAAGTGATTCATACAAGTTCTAATGTAGTCGATGTTCGAGAAGATGTTTTATAAATCTGGCATGAACACAGTTAAGCCTACACTTAGAATTATACAAACTCAAATAATCAAGTTTTGAGTTGAGCCATCAACAATGATGGCTCAGGTGTTGATAGCTTTCACTCATATGGCATGGTCAGCTTGAAGTTCTAAATGATCATATTTAAGTAATGAATACATAATAATACAAAAAATAAGATATCCATTATCAGTCATTTATCTCCTGTGGCACTAAAGTTGATGAAAAGACAACTGTTGTGCACTCAAATACATCGTCATTTCCACTTAAAGTGAATTTTCTCACTGGCTGATTTGGAAGGGATGATGTTTGATTACTGATTACTGAAGATTTTAGATGTAAAATTGTCCAATGGTAACCCCCTCTTTAGTAATTAAACCTTACTCTTGATTTTTAAAGTACTTGTTTAAGTTTTGCACATTATTTACGTTTAAAATTGGAAAGAACAGCAACCGTGTGACAATCCAACAATGGGCTCTGTAATTAAGTACTTGGGGCAGCATTCTATTATTGGTACTGTACCATGCATCAGAAAACATGAATAACGAAAACTGAGACGAGCAGGCACTTTCCTGAGTAAGGAACTACAATGTGAGTGTTGTAAAGTTTGCTTCTTAATGAAAAACACTTTTCATTTTGCCACGGAGGAAGAATATAAATAATTTGATCCATGCATACGCCTCAAAGGGTCCCTGAGCAAGACACTTACCTTCATTGTTTCAACCATACACAAAGTGACTACATTACGCATAGACGTTCTTGTGTTATAAGTGTAATGAACAATACTATAACCAATAGACTTGCTTTCGTATATTTACTTCAGAGTGTAACACTGCAGTGTCCTGTTTTTAATTAAATAAGTAATGCAAGCCACCAATTCTGCTGTCTGCATCACTGTGTTGTGTAGTCTTCTCTCCCACTCATTCAGCTGTTTCCGAGGAAGTGATACATTCAAAATGGATTGCCTTAAACATTTTACATCACTGTTTTGGGAGAACGTATTCTTAACATCTGGTGAGTGTTAATTTAAAAAAATAAACTTGCATAAACCCCTTTGTTCAACTGCGGCTTGCAGGTGAGGTATGTGTTCTCCAAAGGCACTTAAACAAAAGGAATTCCTGTGGGGGGGGGGGCATTGCATGAGTCATCAGGCAATGCCCATTGGGTGAGTCATCAACAACGCTGGTCCATACAGTTACTTGCCAGTGAGGAATTCAACATCACAGATTGTTTTCACCGATATTAAAGCTGTTTGCGAGTGCCATCCACTTTACAACATATCTGTCCTAAACATTAATTTAATTTCCGAAGTCTGGGCATCGTTATTTTATATTAGTGCCATCACTTCCCAGTTTAAAGTTTCACTGTGGTTTGGGATAGATAGGGCAAGCATGGCAAGCAGCTGGTACAGTGAGGGCAGGCAATGATCTCATTTCATCACATGTCTTGTCAACCATCTCTCGTGTGTTGTTGTTCAAGGAGATTTCGAAACATCTCACCAAGACATGCTCTGCCCAAGCATTTTTTCCCTTAATGAACGTGGTAATATCTTAGATTCATATTTATCTCCAATCCCAATATTTTCCTTATAGTTTGAGGACCAAGCAAATATTCTTTGAAAACACATGTGTAGGCATGTACAGTCTATATTATATTGGAAGTGACATCACAATTTGTTCCAGTAATGACCTAAAGTTGATAGGTGCTCATTAACATTACAAGCCTACGTAGAATAGGGCATCTACATCAGGGATATTTTAAAATGTGTACCACGTATGATGTATACATCTATCATACCTGGTCCGCAAGGGGAATGACGATTGATCTGACCTTGGGGTATGAAGAAAGGCTATTGGCCAAAACGTCACCGATTTTATATATTTTTATGGCCATGTTGTTTAAGGGGGGAGATAAGGGTAACTCCAGACCAGTATATTTTTCAAATATATTTTTCAAAATATACTGTACATACCTTTGCAAACCCCTTGTTGATTACCAGTAACTTCATATGGGTCTGCAGACCCCTGTTCTAACAAATCAGCTCTAAAATTCCGGTCTATAAAGGCTACAAGCTTGGCAGCAGAGCGCATACTCGCAACAGATGGGGGTAGGTGGCACATTTACTATTTATGATTCTATGGAAGACAAACAGAGGAAGAGCTTATGGGTCTAGTTCAAAAGACAACACAACACGTTTAACAAACATGACAAGGGAACTACATGTTGACACGTTTACAAATCATACATCATTGCTGTGAATATAAAAATGGCACTTCCAAACTTGGCCCAGATATTTGGAGACAAAAATAAAGCATACACCAACTCCTAAAACACGGCAGATATAGGTTGTTGTGAGAGTGAGTATTGTGATAAAAGGAAATGGTGCTCAATTTCAATAAAATGTAATATTCTTTTCAACGGGGTTTATACACATATTATATCTGAAAGTAAATTGAAGCTCATAACCATTGCTATACATCTCAAGAGTGAATTCAAACGGAACATTACCCTTAAACTTCATTCCTTTGGCAACACATTTGCTGAAACATGTTCCATTGGGAATCATTATTTTTAACATAACAAAAAGCACCTACGTATTGTACATACATTTTCCTGGATTACATTACTTTATTTAAAGACAAAACTACTGTACTTTTTTACTGGAATTCTATACTTAGGTCTATTAACGTACAATTAAATTACGTTTATTTATCTAGGAAAGCATCATTGACTCTCAAATCGCTGTGTGAATAACTTTAATGTGAAATTCTGAGCAATGGCTCTCGGATACCAATCAACACCGGTGCCAAAAAATACTCGTCTAGGAATACAAACACAGGCTGTGGAAAAAGCAGACTGGACATAGAGTTGGCAGCATAAATGACTGGGGAAAGGAGGTCCAGAAATATCCTGCACGAGTTTACCATGTTGGTGAACGTGAAGCCTGCATCTCCAATAAGCTTCTGTGTCTTGCTCAGCGGTGTCTGTAAAATAAACACAACAGTTAAGCTGCACTCTCAATTCACAGCACAGGCAGAAACCAAATACTGTATGGAGTTTAGTGCTTTGCGGTTCCAACTAAAATGGTGCAGAGGGCTCAAGTCGAGACCAATCGATAACCATAATAAGCATCACATCCAAACATTGTTACATATTTACATTTCATATAATACTATGGATGGGACACGATCATATTTTCTGTAAAGAAATCGTATGGGGCAGCCAGGGACAACCTCGGTGTTTTCAGACGTAATTGTCATACAGGTTATATGCAACCTACCAAACCTCACTGTGTATATGGAGTTATAGGTGCGGAGCGATGGTTAACGCACTGCGCAATGAACCCGATGACCTGCGCTCGATATCCAGCCACGTCTAACGGCGAACAGGTACTGCCCACAACACGGCTCCACCGCTTCGCCAATCCGCAATGACCAGCGTGGTGAAGTATGGTCGAACCCACACAACGCAATTAGTGTGGGAGGGCTTAATCCAGGAGCAAACGGACAAAGGGCCGCACGCAATAACATCGCGATCTACGACCATACAAACAGCATCGGTTATATGCTATGTCTGGCAATGCACGACATATTAAAAGCTTTAAAGATACATTAAATCAAGTATATCACAGTGTCCGTGCTAACACGTTCTCGACACCGACCCCCTGCAGGCCTCCATCTACCAACGGAGTGAGCGCCCGCTCCCGCAGCAGGGGAACTAGTCCAGAGGGGGTCCCTTTAAACGCGTCGAGCGTCAACAAACAGCGCCGTACCATTCCGCCCAGCGAGACATCCTGGTCGTCGGTGAGGATTAGCACGAGGTTCGGTCTGGCCTCGCAGCGCACGGCGGTTTGAAATGCGGCGGCCACGACGAGGAGGAGGAGAGACCGCGTCGACGACGAGGGCGACATCTTCACGGCGCGCGTAGCGACGACGTCGGATCTCGTCTTTACCGGAAGTGGGCAAGGTGGGGCGGGTCTTGATGGAGAAGGGGAGGGGCTTGTAGGTATGGGCGGAGCTTTGCGCTGGGGAGATCTTCTGTTGTGTGGGCGGGGTTTGTGTGGATGTGGGCGGGGCATGGGCACGATTGAATGTGGGGCTGGCGATGGCTCCCTTGGGGTGGTGGTGGTTCGCACGCTGGATTTGAAATGTAGAACATCGTTGTTGGTCCGCGCAGCAGTGTAAATGAAAAACGCAACACATTCGTAAATAACATTGTGGCCTTAAAATTACAAATATATAATAGGCCACGTTTCGGGTAACAGTCCTTATCCATAGCAACGGTATAATATTAATACATGGGTATACCACAGTGAGTCCATCTACAGGCAGGTGGTGGTGGTGCAGAGCGCCCTCTCATGCACAGCCGCCACTTTCTCTCTTCACTGCGATCTGGAACCGCGTACGCACTTGGTGACCCAGGTCACTTGCAAATGACACGAACCTGGCCTCGAGTTCCCACCTGATAAAACTACATATAAAAATGACCAATTAAGTAAGTTATGCGTGAGGTCCCAGACACCAGATTATCTACATAACATGGCGACATGGTCAGGAGCGATAAATGATTGATCGTGATTTCAAAGTCTTCCCCCCCCATTTACGAAGCTACAAACTCATCTCGGCGAAACGTCGTGAATTTTGTTATTTTATTTTTACCTACGTGACTTTACCGAATAGAACCAAAGAGTATGGATCATTGCAGTCACGAAAGCTTCAAATCTAGAATAATCTCGGACAGCCCGGAACACAGCCCAAGGCATCTTACAAGACAACAATGATAATGTGTAATTACTATCTTACGTTCGAGCGCGAGTAAATTTTTATTTAAAAACCAAGCTTTGTCCATAATATGGCAAGGCTTGTCACGTAAATAGAACATGCCAATTCGTTACTAGTACAGCACACCGGTGTATTGGAGATCAAATCTACAACATTTGCAATCTGAGTACGACTTTGGCCACTAATTACAACGAGCTGTGTCGCGTGGTAGTGGCGGATTTAACGACACATCCATATTCATTGTGTTATTTTATTTTATCAATTTATTATTTTATTCTCATTCTACGTGACTTTACCGAAAGAACCAAAGAAGACACATCCATATTTACGCGATCTAACCCCCAAAAAAACTATATTTTGGATGATATTGGTCGCGAAAGCCTACGTGTTAAACAAACAGCTTCGTATTTGCTCCTTCACAATGATTATAGGATCACAGAGCTTAGGGGCCGTCCATAAATGACGTCACGCACAAAGGGGGGGGGGGTCAGACATTTCTGACGATGTGTCACAAGGGGGGGGGTTGAAAAATGTGACGTCACATCAAAATGCGCAACTTTAAATAAATATAGACAACACGTTCTACTTAATTAAATAGACTTTTTAATAAATGTTTTCTCCTACAACATCAGAGTGCAGCGGCACATTAAATACGCACTACAATGACAATAGTTTAAAGCGATTTGAAGCATGTTTATTTTTTGGGGGGGGGGGCAGAGCTTTGTGACGTCATATTTAAGGGGGGGTCTGACTTTTTGTGACGCCGTGTGACTAGGGGGGGGGGGTCAAAAATCGTTCAAAATCGCGTGACGTCATTTATGGACGGCCCCTGAGGCAATTGTTGGCGCCGGTTCTGGCTGCCGACCGGCTTCTCTGTGGTATCCTTGTGTCCTCAGACCCAACTATACATAACATCTCACAGCTTATAACAGCAGCCCATGAGCACTCTCACGTGAAACAAACTCGTCACTCTCCCACGTGCTTCACAATAGGCCGTTGTCAGGCTCAGGTGTTAAAATACGCATTAACATAGCTCGCCGAGCAGGTTTAAAACCCGAACAACAGCAATTGATCGAGAGGGCCCTGCATTGGTATGTCGTGGCTGTGTGTTGGAGGAATCCAGAGTCCCCGGAGAAAACGCACGCATATGAGGGGGGGTAGCCCTTGCACATATGCAGGGACAAGTTCACAACCCACATGCTGTACTGCCATCCTGGCCTCCTCGCAGCGCACCAGGTTGGGGAGTTTCACGAATGTACGTGATCCACCAACCCTTGCCTGCAAAGTGCCCGACTCCAGGTGTGTTGCTGAGATGGCGTTATTCCCTGTGACTGCTAAACTATATATGTTTGTCGTGGTATAAATGTGCATACGCCGGGGAGTGGTGGTGCAATGGTTAGCGTATTGCGTTACGAAATCGGCGTCCTGAGTCCAGCTTATCCGTGCCGAATATCAGAACTGATGGCGGTCCTTGGGCTCCCCTAGGTCGATTCGGCCTTACATAATGGTCTGGGCAAGGTTTAAACATCGCTACTGGGGAGACAAAGGCGGCCGGGCGTGGTTCTGGCCACACCATCCATTCGTGCGCTCACTAAAACCTACTTGATTAATACTTTCGGTCGGACTGGGCTCTCACTCGGCCATGAGGTACACGCAGTTGGTAGTTGGATACATCTCTCTTGGGGGCGGTATAGCCTAGTCAATGGGTACCACATCCACCCACTATACCGTGACTACTCCTCATAGACTATTCAAAGCTTACCCGTGTTGAAACGAGTGTGTTAACTCTCATTGACTAGTCAAAGCTTACTCGTGTTGATGCGCGCGTGTGTTAACTCTCATGGACTAGTCAACACTTACCCGTGTTGAAACGCGGGTGTGTTAACTCTCATTGACTATTCAAAGCTTACCCGTGTTGAAACGCGCGTGTGTTAACTCGCATGGACTAGTCAAAGCTTACCCGTGTTGAAACGCGCGTGTGTTAACTCTCATGGACTATTCAAAGCTTACTCGTGTTGAAACGCGCGTGTGTTAACTCTCATGGACTAGTCAAAGCTTACCCGTGTTGAAACGAGTGTGTGTTAACTCTCATGGACTAGTCAAAGCTTACTCGTGTTGATGCGCGCGTGTGTTAACTCTCATGGGCGACCGAGCAGCCATTGGTGGAAATTACACATTACTGTGACGATGCCAGGTCGTCCCTTGAACACGCAAGTGTTAATTGTTCTGTGTAACAATCTGTATACTGTATGCATATTTCGGTAAACGTGGTGGGATATATCTTCGAAGACCTTGTAATTCTACAGGCGAATATTTGAAATGATTGTTTTCAGTTTGACAGTACTACTATGGCAAAAATAAATAAATCTCCTTTATTTCAACGAGGTGTGAGAACCCATTGAGTATACGCGCATTGTTTTAAAGGGAACGCTGTGTTTCCCAGATAAAGACGTGGAGAACAACAATTGATTGAAAGCCCTTGAATGAGAGAAGTAGGCGGTGCAGTGGTTGGCACACTGCACGATGAACCTGTCCAACCTGAGTTCAATTCCCGGCCACGTCTTGCAGAACGTGTGTTAACGCTCATTCCCCGACCCTTGACCAACCCACATCTAACCCACGTGAAGTATGGTGACCCCCTGCCCCATTCACCACGAGACCATCATCCAGCACGTGGATTAACAAAGGGGTTGTGAATTTATTGTACAGTACTGCACTGCATTGTGAATAATATAAAACAGGACTGCATGAATATTCTGCGTCAGTTATTTTGTCGCCACGAGGAGTGTTCAGTGGATAATCGCGTAGCCGGTGTTGACCAATGTGAACAAGACGCACGCGGTATTGACACGAGACACACGATAGGGCTGATCACACGCCTCTAAGAATGCACTGTAGCGGCTTCATTGGGCAGAGCAGTTGGGGACCACAACGTCCAGAATAGCCTCGCAAGACCACCGCGGCCGGCCATTGTCGCAGCTTTGTGTGTTAAACTATTGTTCTTGTGCGTGTGTGTGCGTGTTAAATTACTGTTCGATAGAGTATAGTAGTGTTGGATGTGCCATTACTGTGTAGGAAGTACATTATTATTCGTATCTTGTGTATAGTTAGTTAGCATGAACAGCACAAACACGTATATATGCACACACCACGTATGCAATCTTAACGAACAACTAGCTTTTTTAAATAGGAGCTACTGTATTGCTAAATAAACACTTAAGCACAGCGCCAAAAATAACTTAACGTCGACATTACATCACTTCCCAACTTAACCAGCAACATCCTTGTTACGTTTAAGTGTGTGTACTGCATTGTATATACATGTAACCATTAATCTACGTCTAAGCAATTGTCATAAACTTGTAACTGCAAAACACACCGCGTTGCCAACACGTATGGACACCACCACTTTTATAATGATAAATACTAACGATGTTGCAATGGTTCATATTGTTGGGAAGTTACGTGGTGGAGTGGCCTCAATTAGGACGCACGTTATTTATTTATTTACGTGTCAAGAGGCCCCGCCTGTGGCCGGAGGAGACCGCGGAGCGAGTCGGGTCCCGGTGTTAACCCGGAACCCGCACGCTTACCTGCTACTGCTGCTGCTTCTACTGCTTCTTCCCACGTCAACACTCGCCACACTTGCACCATTATTTTACTTCTCTCTCGCGTGAGTGGCCGTGTCTATCGCTCTCTGTCTTTGTCTCGAGCTGAGCCCGTGTGTCTCTCGCTGTCTCTGTCTGTCTCCCTGTTGTGCGTGTCTTGTGTGTAGCTGTCTCTGGGTCTGTGCGTCTCTTTAGTACTGTATATCAATTTGTCTCTGTGTGTGCGTGATATCTGTGTGTTAACGCTCTCTGTTCTCTAAACTGGTGTAACTTCTATAGTACCGCTGTCTGACTTGTCTACAGTAATTAAACCACCCCCTGCCTCTAGCAGCTCACCTACTTCTGACGTTATTACACTAAGACGAGAGGGAGTCGACTGTCAGCCAACAACACGTCTGTGAGCGCAAGGATGCCGCCACCTGTATAGGCATGGCCAGTCACTCATCCGCTCCGGCTCTGAGCCTCAAGTCTGATGTGTCTGCTACCCCTGTCGCCGTGTTGACGCAAGATCTAGAGCTGACTCTCATTCACCTCGACGACGGCGACCATCAACATTCCGACGCCGACTCCCTCGAAGAGTGTTCCC